GAAATCTAACAGACCTGAGGGTCCTCTTCTCCGTGTGAGCCAACAGAATCCCAACGAGTGCCACTGGGCACTTGGTCGAACAGGCCAGGGTGTGTGGTCCACTGGACTTGTGGTCAGGTCTGGCTGTGATTCACCCTCCCCCTACTTCCTAGCTTGTGACCATGGGCAGATGGCTTCTCTGAGCCCCCAGTTAGCTTCGTTTCACAGATCAGCATTTGACTATATGTCCTGACTCCTCCTCAATGTTGTTGTGAGGACAAGACTTGGTAAAATCTTGGCAGAGCTGATAGGCAACCAGAAGGCTCAGTGCATAAAGCTGTATCTGGAAATCAGGAAGATCCAAGTTCAAGTTCAACCTCAGATACTTGCTGTTTTTGTGAGCCTGAGCAAGCTGTTTAAGCTATCTGCCTCAATTTCCTCATCTGTAAAATGGGGCTAAAAATGGCACTACCTTACTTGTTAGGGTAAAATAAGATATTTGTAAAGTGCTTTGCAAACCTTAAAGAGTTATGTAAGTGCGAACTATCATTATGCCATTATTGTTATTAATAATAAGCCTTAAAATGCTACTGAAATGGAAACTCTATTGCTGCTATTATATCCTGTCTCCCTTAATCCTCTAAGCAGCCCTGGATGGCAGACAATGGCAGAGATTATTTAGAACTGAGGAAATCAAGGCCCAAGGACAGGAAACATTTTGTCTCAAGCCTTGCCCTGTGGGTAGTGAGTATCAGGTTAGGACCAGAACCCAGTCTTCCTGACTCCCAGTCTGGAGCCCCGTCCACCCCACTGCCCAGCATACATGCAGGGCTTTTCTGGGCAGCAAACATCCAGACCCCTGATTTGCCAGCTGTCTTCATCAGGAAAGGCCTCCTTTTATGGAGGTCACTCCGGTTTATTGGGGGTTGAGTTTTCAATGATTCCTGGGGAGGCAGAGGGATTGGTGCAGCTAGGGAATGGGGTGGGGGCAGATATAATGTCTCTGAAAAGAAGAAACTCCCTTAATAGGGAACAGGCATGGCCCTTTGAACTCTGGGGCCATATGAAGGGACCAATCAGAGAGGAAAGCATGGCTTCTCCTTAATAGCTGAGAGCTTGTACTATGTCACCAAAGAAGGTATGGGTTCTTTTTTTTTCTCTCAGAGAAGATTCAGGCAGGCATTTTGTGCATGAGCAAACTTCTAACTGACCCTAAAGAAGGGATATTGTGGTAGGTGGGGAATGATAACAGTATGGACCATGGAAAGAGTACTGACTCTGAAATTTGAGGACCCGAGTTCACGTTCTGCCCTGACTCTTATTTCTGTGTGAGCTAGGGCTAGTTAGTTACTTAGCCTTCCTGGGCCTCAGTTTCCTCATCTGTAACATGAGAGAGTTAAACTAAATGACCTCTACTTCCAGCTTGAGGTCAATGATCTAACAGGCCCTGAGTTTTGCCTAGTGGCAGAATAGGAATTAGTCCCACCCTGAGGGGAAAAGGATTTTGTCTATTTTGTCAACATCTCTTGCCTTTGTTCCTTTGTCTCTACTCAGCTGGTCTCCACCTTTGTTAAGCCTTCATCACTTCTTACTGGACTATTATAGTGATTAATCAGTCTAGGCTGTCCTTTCTCTAATCCATCCTCTACTTAACTGCCCCAAAGCCCCAACTTGCCTGTGTCTTTCCTCTCCTAAAAGCCATCGGTGGCTCCCTATTGCCTCTGTTGTAATTGACAAAAATCATCATTTTGTTTTTAAAGCCATCGATAGTCTGGCTTCTATCTCCTGTTCATATTATCCCCTCTCACATGCACACACATTCCATTCAATTTAGTCCAGTTGGCCTGACATTTCATCTCTAGCCTTTGTGACTTTGCCATTATATCTTAAATGCATTCCCTCCTTGCCTCCACCTGGTAGGATGCCTAGCTTCCTCCAAAGCATGGCCCAGGCCACTTTCTACACGATCCTTTCCTGGTCCCTAACCCTCCCTACCCCGCTCCTGGGTGGGATCATCCTGTGAGATTACCTTGTAATACTCGGAATGTACTTTGCATTTGTTTTTGCCCAGGGTGTTTTCCCTGATACAATGTTACACTCCTTGAAATCAGAGACTTTCATTTTGTCTTTGTGTCCCCAGCACTTCGCTTGGTGCCTGGCACATGGTAGTCGTTTAGTAAATGCTTGTTGAATTGAAAGCGCATAGGTGGGATGTATTGGACCCTTCCTGCTGAGTCTGGTCTTTGCACTAGCAAAGGAACAGAGGTGGAGGAGGGGGGAGGGAGAGAGAGACAGAGAATACTTCCCTGTTGGAAAAACAGCCCGACTCTTGCACAATAAGGGGTTTTCATAATGTTTTCACTGCATGTTCTGTAACATGGAGACAGTCATCAAAAAGCAGCCCTGGCAGTCTAGGTCTGAGACTGATTTCATGCAGCAGTGGGTTTCTCCCTGTCCAGGACAGCAAATGTCTTGGGTACCAGTGATGATTACCTTTTTCCTTTGTGTTCTGTCTCTCTCTCTTTCTGAAATAATGGAGCTCCTGGAGAACTTTTAAATTTGAGCATCTTGCCCCCACCAGGAACTGCTGCACGTCCAGAACATGATACATTCAGTAAATGAGAGCAGAAGAGACACAAGCCTAAAAGTGGGAGATCTGGGTTCTAGTTCTCGGCTATTCAAATAACTTGCTCTGTGATGTTGGACACAAATCCAAGCTATCATGGTGTCTGGTACATGGTAGTGCTTAATAAATGCTTTTTTTTTTTTTTGCTGTTGACAAATCCCTTCCCCTCTCTGACCTTGATCTGACAGGCAGCATGGTGTAATAGATGTGGCATTGGCTTTGGAGTCAGAAAATCTGGGATCAAATCCTGCCTCAGATCCTTGCCAGGTGTGTGATCTTGGGCAAGTCACTTAACCTCTTTTAGCCTCATTTTCTTCATCAGCAAAATGGGCATCATAATAGCACCTACCTCCCAGGGTTGTTGTAAGGCTCAAATGAGATGATTATTTTTAAAGCACTTTGCAGACTTCAAGCGCTATACATGCTAGCTCTTAGAGATGACAGACTGCTGCTCTGATCTGATGGAGGATGTCTCCACACAAAGTTGGGAAGGCACTTGACCCATGTTAGTTAGTTTGGGCTTTACCACAACTCTGCCAGATAAGTGCTATGGATATTAAAATATACCCATTTTATAGATGACAAAGCTAAGGCTTTACAGAGGTTAGGTCACCTAGCTAATGTTAGAGGTAGGAGTTGGATTCAGGTCTCCGTGGCTCTGAGTCTTAATCGTAAAAGCTTTCATTTCTGGAGAGCTTTCAGACTCACAAAGGGCTTTTCTGACAACTATATACCCCTATGAAGGGGGTATTACAAGAGTTATTCTCCCCAACGTAACGAAGGGGAAACTGAGGTCCAGATTGGTGAGATTTGAACTTGATTTTCCCCTGACACAAGCTGAGCATGCTCTTCATTGTATCAGTAAGAAGCTGGATGACAGATCCCTCTCTGAAGTCAGAGTCAAGTGCAACCTGTCTCTCAGCCTAGCCCCAGATCTCACCCCCTGGAACCTGCTGCTGCTATTTTCATCGCCCGCTGGCTCTGAGCAGCTTATATTTGGCTCCTTTCCCTCGTCCCAGTATAGCAAGGCTTGTTGCTCAGATCTGTTGGAACTGAAGCTTAAATGTAACAACCAAGTCACAGAGACGGACTTCTGAGCTGTACAGATGATAGGTTCGAGAGCTGGAAGGGACCTCAAATAGTGTCTAACACAGTTGGCTGCATTATGGATGGGGAAACTGAGGCTCCAAGAGGTTATGTGACTTGCTCAAGGTAACACAGCTACTAATGAAGCTACTTAGAGACAGCTGGTGGCACAGTAGATAGAGCATGAGGCCTGGAGTTGGGAAGACCTGAGTTCAAATCCAGCCTTAGACATGTAGGAGCCATATGACCCTGGGCAAATCACTTTCCCTCTGCCTGCCTCAGTTTCCTCAACTATAAAATGGGGGTCATAATAACACCTTCCTCACAGGGTTGTTATGAGGATTAAATGAAGCAAATTTGTAAAAAAAAAAAAGTGTTTAGCACAGAGCCTGGCACACAGTAAGTACTCTATAAGTGCTTATTCCTCCCCTGCCCCCCACCTAAGTGGCAGAATTTGAATCTAGGTCCTCTGATTCTAGATCCATTGCTCTTTTCATCTACTCTACACATTTCCCCTCTACCTTCACTCATGGTTCATTAACTGTCGCAGCTTGATAGGGCTTTTAGAGATACTGTCAGAACCACCCCCTTCTGTTCCACTCATGCCATCTTGTTTTATAGGTGGAAAAACTGAGTCAGACAGAAGGAAAATGGCTTGCCCAAGGTCACAACACTAATTAATGGCAGGGTGTGTGCTAGAACCCATGCCATTGTGTTTTCTGTGGCTCTCTGCTTTCTTCTCAGACTAATCATCCCAGATGCCAGTGGTTTACAATTTTGAATTAATATTCCCCCTCGGATTCCAGTAAACTAAAAAAAACATTGATTAGGCTCCTACTATGTATTGGGCCTTGTACAGGACGCTGAGGAGAATACAAAGGTTGAGAAAATAATGATCATTCTGCCCTCAAGGAGCTTACAATGTACTTGGACCCTGGGTGGGAGTGGGGGGGGGTTAAAGAAATGTGCAGATATGTAAGTATGATTCAAGGTAGAGTATAATGGGGGAAAAGAAGATCCTATTTGGCTGGAGGTGGGGAATCAGTGTCTGGTCTCCCTAGATAGAAAGGGATTTCGGGCTTCTGCAGGTTTTCCCATGGCTAATTATTCCTTGTTTAAAGCTGAGATTTTATTTGGCATTTTGTTGCCTGTTCTTTGGGGCTGTGTACTTGCCCTGGGGGGGGTATGGGTGCTGAGCAGAGACATACTTCTCTCACTCGTGATTGGAGGAAGGTGGACTGCTCTGCAGCAGGGTGTGCCTCTCCTCACATGCTTCCTCACCGGGTGCTCTCTCTTTTTTCTCTTCTAGTGTGTCCGCCCTCATGTAAGTGGCAGGGCTGCACAGCGAGTGGACAGTGTTGCCACAGTGAATGTTTGGGGAACTGCTCTGAGCCCAACGACCCGGAGAAGTGTGTGGCCTGCCGAAATTTCTATCTGGATGGCAAGTGTGTGGAGACGTGCCCTCCAGACTATTACCACTTCCAGGACTGGAGATGTGTGAACTTCAGTGTCTGTCAGGAGCTTCACAATAAATGTAAAAACTCCCGGAAGCCCTCGTGCCCCCAGTATGTCATCCACAACAACAGGTGTATCCCTGAGTGTCCCTCTGGCTACACAATGAACTCCACCAAGTAAGCACTAACCACGTGGGAGGCACGCATGCATGTGTTTGTGTGTTCTTGTATGTCTGTGTTGAAATATTCATAGACCAATGTGTGAAGAAAGGCAGCAGAGAGTAGAAATAGAAATGCTGACCAGGGAGTCGGGAAGACCCAGGTTCATATCCCACATCTGTCTGTCTAATCTCAGGCTCTGTGGGTCTCATTTTCCTCATTTGCAAATGAGGGAGCAGGTCTAGAAGGTTTGTTCCAGCTCTGAACCCAGGACTGTCGGAATCCAGACTCTTCTGTTGCCTAGTTTTGTGACCTTGGATAAGTCCCTTCCCCTCTCTGGGCCTTAGTTTCCTCATCTGTGAAATGGAACATTTGGACTAAATGATTTCTAAAACCCCTTCCAGCTTTCAATCCTGATAGCACACATGATTCCTGTGGAAGAAGACTAACACCGGCATCATTTGTCCTGGCTCAGACAGGTGGGTGACATTCCCTCAGGTCCCAGCTGGCCAGGGTCCCAGGCAAGAGTGGAACAGTGGATCAGAGACCTGAATACCAGTCCTAGTTACGCCTCTTACTGCCTGCATCATCAGGGGCAAGTCGCTTAACCTCTCTGGGCCTCAGTTTCCCCCCTGTAAAATGAGGAGTTTGGACGAGATGATTTCTAATAGTGCCTTCTCTCTTTCAATCCTGTTGATGTAAATCTAGCCCTGGCTTCTAGGGAGCTTGAGAATTAGGCAACTTCTCAGGGGACCTGCAGGGAACAGCAACATAACCCATTTGTGTTCAGTTTTGTGCTTGGAAGACGATGCTACTCATATACCAAGGCTTCCACAGCCTGGGTCACACGTCAGCAGTGCTCAGGGAAGGGAAATGGGGACACCTTCTTACACCCTGCCTGCTCACGATACCTTGGGCCTTTTTCTCCAAAGGCATATCAAAGAAGAGGAGCATCAGTCCCCAAAACAGCCGAGGCATTACTTTCATAAGCAGCCGTGCCTGTCTGCATGGCCACCCTGTCTGTCTCTGATGAGTGTCTCTGCTCCAGGGCTCATCCTGAAGGGATGTATCCCTGAGAGAGAGGGAGACCACTGCCCTGTCCTTATTCCTGGGACACACCTCTGCTCTTCTAAGGGCAGTGTAGCCAAGCCAGGCCACGTTCAGGGCCACACGGCTATTTCCGTGAGAAACGTCCCAGTTTTCTCACAGTGGGATCCTGCCCTGAGGATGAGTCAGGTTCCCTAGCTGTGTTCTTAATTTGTGCTTGTTTATTCTTTGATTAGCTTCTTCAGGAGATTGGAGCTGGCTTTTGTCCATTTCCTGGTTGGTTTCTGTATCTTCTGTTGTGTTAAAAAGCATGCCCAAAAGTCCCCAGGAGTGGGGTGGGGAGCTCCTGATGTCATCAGACCCATGAGCTCCAAGGGCCTGGTCTGCCTGGCGGTCAAAGTGGAAGGACCTGGTGGGAACTTTATTTTTTTTAATTTAATTTAATTTTTTTTTTTGTGCTAGGTACAGGCAAGGAGAGAGGATAAGGGTGGAAGGGATTTAGGTCACATCTCCCTTAATGTAGGTTTACAGGCCACGTCATGTGATGGTTCTGAGAACAGTGTGTCTTGTTTTATTGCATTAAAAAATATTATCAGGTAACCTTGTTTTCCCAAAACATGTGCCTGCAAATCAACTTAGCTTAGCCTTCGGCAGCAGCTGCTTCCTGCCTTCTTCAGAGGATGGCAGGCAGCGTCTGCCTTCTCTCCTGTCTGGCATACCTTTGAAACCAAGAGCGGGATTCTTCATTTCCCTTTAGAGGCAGGCGTTGGTCTCCTACCCACTAATTAGCTTTTAATAGAAGGAGCATCAGTTTCATTATAAGTCAGGCTTGAGGAGTGAATGAATCATCATTGTCCCTTACAACATCTCTGAGTGTGGATTGCAGCCGCAAACCACCACAGCTGAAGATGGTTGGTGCTGTCGAGTGATTTCGGAAGGTTGGCAGATGAAGGGGCAGAAGTTTGTAAGCTGGGAAGCCCTCAGGGCTGCCTTTTGAGCTTCAGTGAGGATGGTGATCCGGCTCCTAGAATCATGGGATGGGAGATCTAGGAAGCTGCAGGGGACGTCCAAGGCCTGTCCGATCAACCCCTTCATTTTACCGATGAGGAAACTGAAGCCCAGAGAGGTTCCATGAGTGGCCTGGGTCACACAGGGAGATAGAGCAGAGCTGGGATTTGAACTCACATTCTCTTACTCCAGATAAAATTTACTCTGTTACCTTATAGCCAGTTCAGCAAATATGTATCACGGTATGTGTCAGGCACTGAGCTTGGTACCAAGACTATAAAAACAAGAATGAAAACAGTCTCAGTCCTCGAAGAGATTACATCCTAGGGGTGAGGGTCACATAGGTGTGAGTACAGAATGCAAAAAGAATCTATATGTACATATAAGTTATATGTACTTGTACACAGGATGTATGTGTCATATATGTACATATATACATTTATGAATATGTGTACACACATACAGCGTATGTGTGTGTATAAATGTATGAATATATAAAATATGTATAGAGTGAGAGACAGCATGGGGTTTGGATAGAGATAATAATAGCTACCATTTATCTGGAGGCAGCTAGGTGGCTCATCGGATAGAGCCCTGGGCCTGGCGTCAGGAAGACTCATCTTCCGGAGTTCAAATCTGGTGCCCGACACTTCCTAGCTGTGTGATCCTGGGCAAGTCACGTAACCACTATCTGCCTCAGTTTCCTCCTTTATAAAATAGATATCATAAAAGCACTTACTTTGTGGGGCTATTCTGAGGATTAAGTGAGATAATATGCTATGTAAAGCACTTTGTAAACCTTAGAGCATTATAGAAACACTCACTATTGTTATCTTGGTGATAGTTTATTTGGCCACAGCATCCTGTGAAGCAAAGAAAAATACAGAATGCTCCAGAGCCTGCTCTAGTCCCATCTCACTTTTTCAGTGATAGTGGTAGAGGGCCAGAAGAAATACAAAGATGGGAGAACCAAATATTTCCATTGCTGACCCAGAGACCATTTTGACAGAATTAAGGGATAAGTTCTCATTATATCTGAATGATAGGAGGAAGGCTTTTCCAAAGGCTTGAAAAAATTCATAGCACTTACTATAATGAAGAAGGGGGAGGAGGAGGAGGAGAAATAATAATATGTATAACTACTGACTCATAGGCCTACTTTCTCAGCTCTGCCAAACCTTTATCTGAAAGTGATCTATGTAGGCGTCAAAGGCAACCTTGAAAGTATGAGGAGGGAACAGGCAAGGCTGTGAATGGTCAAAACAATATTCTACAAAAGGCCGGATTTTTAACCACAAGTGATTAAAAGGTCTAGAGGACACAAGATTCCACTGAGGTCATTGTTCAGCTTGATGTTTAAAAAAAAAAAAAGGACGATGGGGGCAGCTAGGTGGCGCAGTGGATAGAGCACCAGCCTTCAAGTCAGGAGGACCTGAGTTCAAATCCAGCCTCAGACTTGACATTTACTAGCTGTGCGATGCTGGGCAAGTCAGTTAACCCCATTGCCTAGGCAAAAAAAAAAAAGAGAGAAGAAAAGAAAAACAAGCAAACAAACAAAAGACATTTGATTCAGTCAGAGCTGTAAAGATCCTTCTCCCAGAAGGTGTCTCCCATCTTTATGGCAAAAATTATACAAGATTCTTTGGGAGATGTAGCAATAGAGGTAAATATTCAGTGGCCCCCTCGATTGGTCGTGTCAGGAGAGGTGTAAAGCAGGGGGGATTGCTGCTGTCATGGAGTATATTTGGTGCAGAATCTTTTATGGGGTGGAGCCCTTGGGCAGGCTGGTGAAGCCTAATACTACTGTGGTTTCTTGCCTACATCCACAATGGAAGGAAATGCTCGATTTCAGCTAGAGGTCAATGACAATAAAGACATAATTTTTTCCCAGGTAAGTTCATGGACCCCTTGAAATTTATCCAAAGACTGCAGGTTAAGAACTCCTGCTGTAGACAGTGAGGTTCTTAAAGATGCTCTTGTTTGAGGCAGATGATACCATCCTGATGGCTGAAAGCTCAGAAACACGCTAGAGTCTCCTAAATGGGGTCCATCATCACACTCCAAGAGTTTGTGTAACTTTCCAACTCTCCATCTATAATCGTCACAGAAAGAAACAAGTGAATGAAAGTATCTTGTCCGGATGATGAGATATGGCTGGGTGACCAACCTAGAGCAAGCCTTTACATTGATATATGGATTTTGATTAGGGACTGCACATGGTCCCAGAACTGAACAGGAAGAGGAAAGCAGAGGGATTGCCTTGAGGAAATTGCACCGCGTTTTTAAAGACTCCCAAGCTTCTGCCTGAAACAATCACCTTGTCAATACTAATCATCTTCTGGTGATGTGTGTAGCTGTGGGTCATGGAAGGGGAGTCTCCAAAGAATTAAAGATACAGGTCACCCCAAAGGTGGTAGAGGGAGAGGGGCCAAGTGGGGGTGAATAAGCAGCAACATATCACCCACAAAGAATTACCAGGAAGAACAGATACAAAGGATGCTCTCAGAGACCAGAAAAGGAGGTGGGCGAGTCCTGTAGCCATAGTAATTGAGTGGGGGGAACTGGACGACCCACCTGCACCACTGGAATCCATACATTGTCGAGAGATCTGGGGAAAAGGAGAGATTTGGGGATGGACCCCCCTGGGAAGGATGTACAGGGGAGGAGCGTGGGCAAGAGTTGCCTAAGAGGGGATGTGAATGGACTGTGATCTTCATCGCTGAAAGGAGTGGCCCTAGCATCATTCAAGAGTCCCTCCCCCCGTCTCTGACATCCCCTGTTTTAAGAACCCTCATAACCCTGGCATCCTTGGCTTAATCTCTTGTAATACTACCATCCTCTTTTCTATGGTTTCTCAAAGCTTTGACATTCCCCGTTCTAAGGACCCTCCCAACTCTGACATTCCCTGTTCTAAGTAGGTCCTCTCAGCTCTGCCATCCTGGGTTCTAAGGGCCCCTCAGCTCTAACATTCCATGTTCTAAGAGCCCTCTCAACTCTGCCATCCTGGGTTCTAAGGGCCCCTCGGCTCTAACATTCCATGTTCTAAGAGCCCTCCCAGTTCTGCCATCCTGTGTTCTAAGGGCCCTAGCTCTGACACCCTGTGTCCTAAGGGCCCTAGCTCTGACACCCTGTGTCCTAGGGCCCTCCCCACTGTGACATTTTGTGTTCTAAGGTCCCCCGCTTTGACATTCTATGTTTTGAGGGCCATCTTTGCTCTGATAGCCTGTAATCCTGTTGTGGCTCATTTTTCATGATTATATCTAATGTTGGTTACTTCCTGATGACAGCCAAGTAGGTTCTTTAATCTAATTAGTAATGTGTCCCAGAATCCTGCAGTAGGACAATAACATCTGGGAAGATTTCCCATCAGTGAGGTGTAAATTCTCACTTATCTCCCTCATAGGATATCCCCTTTTTAATCCTTTCCCATACCACCACCTTCTTGTCTGCGGTTTGAGGTTTGTCACTCTCTGTCTTGGGGGGTGGGTAGGGTGGGGTCCTTTTCTGTTCTGTGATGGTGCTCTGTGTGTGTGTGTGTGTGTGTGTGTGTGTACACATGTATTCATGTGTGTGCTGTATATTTTGGTTCAGACCTATGATAACATTGGGCAGCTAGGTGGTGCAGTAGATGGTGTTGGACTTGGAGTCAGGAGTTTGAATCCTGCTTCAGTACTTAGCTGTGTGACCCTGAACAAGCCTCTTGACCTCTCTTAGCCTCAGTTTCTTCATATGTAAAATGGGGATAATAATAGCACCTACTTCCCAGAGTTGTGAGGGCCAAATGAGATGATGTGTATAAAGTGCTTTGCAAACCTTAAAGTATTATTAAACGGTAATTGTTATTATTATCACTATTATTTATCATCATCATCATCATCATCATCATCTTTGCAACAGTGTACTTACTGCCACTGAGGAAATTCCTTCTCCCAGGGCAGATCAGCAATCTCTGTGCAACTTCCAGTCTTAGAGAGTTGCCTGAAGAGGGAAAGGAAGGGAATAAACATTTATTAAGGGCCTACTGTGTGCCAGGCACCATGCAAAGCACTTTACAATTGTTATCTCATTTGATCTTCACAATAACCCTGGGAGGGAGGTGCTGTTATCTCCATTTTGCATATGAGGAAACTGAGGCAGACAGAGGTTAAGTGACTCATCCATGGTCACATAGTTAGTGAATATCTGAGGCCAAATTTGAACTCAGGATTTCCTGGCTCCAGGCCCAGAGCTGTATCCGCTACGCCACCCAGCCACTTCCAGTGAATCACTCTAAGAGGTCAAAGTACTTGGCCAGGGTCACCTAGTCAGTATATGTCAGAGGCAGCATGAGAACCCAAGTCTCTCTTGGCCACTTCTCCATATTGCCTATACATACAGCCTAGAAGTAACCCTGGGCTCTCAGAGGCTGGGCACCATGAAAGAATGCCAGCTCTGGCAGGTTACCACATTGGAAGGCCTTATGAGAGACTGGTGTCTTGCCATCTGCGGTCCAGCCCAGCTAAGCTCAGAGAGTCAGGGCTGGTCACTAGGAGATGATGATGGTGATAGCTAGCATTCACATAGCGTTTTAAGGTTTACAAAACATCTCACATATGTCATCTTCTCGTAACACTGGGGGTAAGGTCCATTATTATGCCTATTTTATAGATGAGTAAACTGAGGCAGACAGAAATTAAATGACTTACTCAGGATCACACAGCTTGTAAACACCTGGGGCAGGATCTGAACTCAGTTCTCCTAGACTCCAGATATAGAATAGGGACTATATGACTTTTTGTTGGCTTTGTTGTAGAAAGGATTCCTGTTCTACTACAGTAGAATTAGATGGTCTCTGAGGCTCCCTTCAAGTCAATATTCTGTGATTCTTTAAGAGAATAGACCCCCCCCCCGCAAGTTTAGTATTTGGTCAGATACCCCAGATATCTTGTCATTAATATTAATGTTGACAAGAGGCTGATACAGTTAGAGCTAGAAGGGACCTTTGATATAATCAGGCAGGATTTGAACCCGTGTCCGTTGACTCCAGAATCGGCGCTCTTTCCATGAAATCACACTGCCTTCTTACTAGCTGTTGCCCTGGGTAACTAACCAACTCACTCACTAGCCGTGTCACCCCAGGTAAGTTTTTTCGCCTTGGTAAGTAAGGCTCAGGCAGCAGGCTTCCTTGCTATGAGAGCCTCCTGTATCATTTCATTTCATTGACAGCCAGCTGGCCTTCATTCCCGCAATGACTTGCTGTATACTACAGACCTGTTCTCTGTGTCTTTTCTCTTAGCCTGCATTGTTCTCCTTGCTCCGGCCCCTGTCCAAAGGTCTGCAACATCGAGGCTGACCGGACCATTGATTCTGTGCATGCTGCCCAGGCCCTTCGAGGGTGCACCGTCATCAACGGGAGCCTTGTCATCAACATCCGTGGTGGCAGTGAGTGTCTGGGGAACGCTTGGGCGTCGGGGTTCTGTCCAAGCCGGCGTTAATTAGGGGCCAGCTCTATGTGGTGCATATACATAAGTGAAGGCTGGGGAGCCTGGAAGGTCCCTCCTGCTCCTGAGTGAGAAGAGTCTTAGAAATCAGAACAGTGGCTCGCTTTTCTCTAGTACTAGACTGTTGAGAAAGTACTTTCCGTGAGGCCAGCTGTGCACCTCTTACCAGTCCAGCTGTCACCCCCAATCCTGAACACCAAAGGAGCTCCCCAAAGTCATCGGTCCAATGTCAAGTAGCAGAGCCAGGATTCCAAAGCCGGGGCTTTCCATGGCACCTCACAAAATATCTTCCAGGTGACTGCTGGCTAATCTTCTAGCCATTCTGGCTGCCTCCTGGATATGTTCCAGCCAGACTGTTTAATATCACAGATAATGAGGAAATTAGAGCTGAGTAGAAATCATTTGTGTCAATGTTCATAGAAAGAGGAAGACTCAATGACTCGGACTTGTTGACTGGTGTGTTCCTCCCTTCTCCTCCCCGCTCCAGATAACATAGCAGCCGAACTAGAAGCCAATCTGGGTTTAATTGAGGAGATCACAGGGTACCTTAAGATCCGTCGTTCCTATGCCTTAGTATCCCTCTCCTTCTTCCGGAAGCTGCATCTCATTCGAGGAGAGACCCTGGAAATCGGGTAAGTCTGTCTTGGCGCTCTGAACTGTGAGCTTTTGAACAGAGCATTGCTTCTCTCTGTGTGTTTGGGGGCAGTGGTGGTAGGAATTCCCCATGAAGTTTTTAAGTGGGGGAACGGTGTCCTTTTGAAAGCTGCATTGACTGACTGTTTGGGGGAATGAACTTGAAGTAGCTTGAATTGGAGTCTCCCAGAAGGTAGGGAACTCATGCTTTAGTCATGTGTGCAAAGATAGATTCACAGGCCCACAAGTCACTCAGGTACTGACACATCCACAAGAATCATTTCAATTCAGTTAATTTCAGTTCAGTTCAATTCAATTCAAGAAGCATTTGCATAAAAAAAAAAAGAAAGAAAAGAAACGAAACAATCCATTCCTTCAAGGAACACAGTGATCTTAGGCGTAGTGACATGTACACAGATAAGATAAAATAAATGGGAATTATGAAAATGGAAGGACCAAGGAAAGTCTCATGTAGTAACTGACCTCTGGACTGAGCCTTCAAGAGAGGGACCCCCTGTGATCCTTCCAAAGATCCCGTGTCCCTTTTACAGTCATGTGTGAAATATGGAGAGCTGGATCTCTGTATATGCACTCACATCTATACAGACACACTTCTAGTGCATTCAAAGTATATACATATGTTGTTTTCTCGAGAGCAAACTTTCCATCTGTACAGATCCCAGTCAGTCTATAAATAAACATTTATTAAAGACCTACTATGTGCCCAGCACTATGCTAAGTACTGGGAATACAAAGAAAAGCACAAGTAAGGTCCCTACCCTCAAGACAGTCCTCATGGGTTTCTGTAGCTGGAAACAAAGTCCATATATGGCAGCTAGGTTGGACTTGGAGTCCGGAAAACCTGAGTTCAAATCCTGCTCCAGATACTTACAAACTGTGTGATCCTGGGCAAGTCACCTAATTTCTGTCTGCCTCAGTTTACTCATCTGTAAATTGGGGATAATAATAGACCATACCCCCACAGTGTTGTTATGAGAAGATGACCTCTGTGAAATGCTTGGCAAACCTCAAAAATGCTATGTAAATGCTAGCTGTTATTATTATTGATTATCATCCCCTAGTGGCCAGCCCTAACTCTCTGAGGTTAGCTGGGCTGGTCCTCAGATGACAAAACATCGAGTCCCTCATTAGGCCTATGTTCAAAGCCTTTCCCATGTGGTAACCTGCCAGAGCTGGCATTGTCTTACGGTGCCCAGCCTCTGAGAGCCTAGGGTTACTTCTAGGCTGTGTGCATGGGCAATATGGAGAAGTGGCCAAGAGAGACTTGGGTTCACATGCTGCCTCTGACATATACTGACTAGGTGACCCTGGGCAAATAATTTCACCTCTTAGAGTGATCCATTGGAAACAGCTGGGTGCTGTAGTAGATACAACTCTGGACCTAGAGTTAGGAAAACTGGAGTCCAAACAGATACTCACTAACTGTGTGACCATGGGTGAGTCACTTAATCTCTATCTGCCTCAATTTCCTCATCTGTAAAATGGGGATAACATTAACATCTCCCTCTTAGAGTTGTTTTGAAGATCAAATGAGATAAGAATTGTAAAGTGCTTAGCACGGTGCCTGGCACACAGTAGGCCCTTAATAAATGCTTATTCCCCCCCTTCAGGCAACTCTGTAAGACTGGAAATTGCACAGAAATTGCTGATCTGCCTTGGGAGAGGGAATTTCCTCACTGGCAGTACCCTGTTGCAAAGATAATGTTGATGATGATAAATAACAGTGATAATAATAACAATTACCGTTTTATAATACTTTAAGGTTTGCAAAGCACTTTATACACGTCATTTGGCCCTCACAACTCTGGGAAGTAGGTGCTATTATTATCCCCATTTTACATATGAAGAAACTGAGGCTAAGAGAGGTCAAGAGGCTTGTTCAGGGTCACACAGCTAAGTACTGAAGCAGGATTCAAACTCCTGACTCCAACACCATCTACTGCACCACCTAGCTGCCCAATGCTTTCATAGGTCTGAACCAAAACATACAGCACACACATGCACATGTACCTACACATATGGATGCACGTATATGTGTACACACATGCCCTCCCCTGATGCGTCATCTCAGTGAGGTTATCTTGGCTTCTCAATGGCTGTACCATAAGAATATCTCTCAAAGATCTCACCAGACTCGAAAGGCTTTACGTGCAAGACTGATGACACTCTACATGTTGTCATTTGGGAAGTGTCTTAGTTAAGCTTGGCGAGGCTCATCACTAGGGCTGACAAAGCCCCAGGGCCTCTCAAAGACCATCCAACAAGTTGTCAGGGGCCGTGATGAGCTCTAGGGAGGAAGCAACCCCATGGACAAACTGAGGTCCTTGAAATGGACGCATCAGTTTTGGAACTCAGATCCAAAAATGTTTTTTAAAAATTAATAATAATTTATAAAAAATGAGTGTCATATTGCTTGTCTTCCCAGTGGGTGGGGGGAAGTCTGGAGAGAAGGAGAAAATTTAGAATTCAAAATTTTTTTAAATGTTAAGAATAAATAAATAAATAATAAATTGAAAGGAATGTGCGCATCAAGCATGCCCTTGTCCTGAGCCGAAGTTCCTGGTTAAGTCCATTGGGAAGCATTTAAATGCCTATTATGTGCCAGGCACTGTGATAGGCATCAAAGATACAAACACAGAAATGAAGCAGTTCTTGCCCTCGGGGAGCTTACATTTTATCTCAGTCAGACCCGAACTTTAGGAAACCCGGTCTGGCAGTTGTTCAGAAGATGCAGCAGAGGGCGATGAGCTTTGAGGCAGGGAGACCTGTTAGGAGCCTGTGGAAGTCATTTAGGCAGGAGGTGAGGAGGCCTGGAGAAGGGTGGGCCATACTTCCCAGGTGAGCTGGTCCCAGTTACTTCCCACCCTTCCCTGCCCACTTTTCCCCTCCACAGGAACTACTCCTTCTATGCCCTGGACAATCAGAACCTGAGGCAGCTGTGGGACTGGAGCAAACACAACCTCACCATCGCCAAGGGGAAGCTCTTCTTTCACTATAACCCCAAACTCTGCCTGTCTGAAATCCACAAAATGGAAGAAGTTTCTGGCACAAAGGGCCGGCAGGAGAGGAATGACATTGCACTGAAGACCAACGGTGACCAAGCTTCTTGTATGTAAAACTTGGTTTGGGACAGTCTCCATGGCAGGGAAGAGGGTGGAGCCCACCTATCCAGGAAACTAGCCAAAGATGGCTAGTAGCATGGTGGATACTGTACTAGGTGGGGATCAGGAGAGATCTGGCTTCAGATCTCACCTCTGACATTTACTGGCCTTGGGAAACTCATTTACCTTTCCCAAACCTCAGTTTGCCCCTCTGAAGAACAGGGGTGTTACCTGCCCTTCTTCTGCCACAGAGTTACTGCTTGGCTCAAATGAGATTCTGCAGATCCGTCCGGGGTGGGGGGGGGATGCCAATATCAGTTGTTAATTACAAGGAATAAAAGGATGACATGGAGCTTGAGGGAGTGAGGATGCTGCCCTCACCCCTGAAGGGGGAGGTTGTTTCTAGTTAGCCTGCTTTCGGTTCTGAATTATGAGCCATGATGGCAGTGACCGTCAAGGTGGATGAGGAGGAAGTGGGTGAGGAGCCAGTGGGGGGAGTCTTGGTGTTGGCTTAAGACATTCTTAGTGTGGTAAAGTCTGTCTTTTAGTCAGCAAACATTTACTGAGATCTTACTATGTGCCAGGTACTGGGCTAAGTGCCAGGGATACAAAGAAAGGAGAAACCACCATCCCTGCCCTCAGAGAGCTTACACTCCAGTGGGGGAAACAACATGAAAACGACTATGCCCATATAAGATATATGCAGAATAGATGGGAGGCACTAAGTGGTGGGAGGCTGGGGGGAGGGCAGGGACAGGGAAGGCCTCCCGTAGAAGGAGAGATTTGAGTTAAAGTCTGGAAGGAAGTTGGGGAAGCCAGGACGGGGAGGTGAGAAGGCATAGCATTCCAAGCATGGGAGACAGCCAGTACAAAGACAGAGTCAAGAGATGGTATATCGTGGTTGAATCATTTCCCCCTTCTTGAGCCTCAGTTTTCTCATCTGCAAATTGGGAATAATGTTACTTGCACTGACTCCCTCATAGGGAAGAGAATAAATATTTATATAGTGCCAGACACCTTGCCTAGCACTTTGCAAATCTTACTTCATTTTATCCTCACAACCACCGTGCAAAGTAGATGCTATTAAGTATCTGAAGCTGGATTTGAACTTGCATCTTTCTGATACCAAGCCTGGAGGCTCTCTCTGCTGCCTGATCAGTGCCTGCTCTGCAATTTGTAGTCTTACTGAATCGCCTGGAGGGCTGGGAAGTGAAGTGGTTCCCCAGTCACACAGCCATTCTGTTTTGTTTCTTTTTGGTTTTGGTTAGGCAGTAGGGTTAAGTGACTTGCCCAGGGTCACACAGCTAGTAAGTGTTACGTGTCTGAGGCTGGCTTTGAACTCAGGTCCTCTTGACTCCAGGGCTGGTGCTCTATCCACTGCATCACCTAGCTGCCTCGCACACAGCCATTCTGTCCAAGGCAGGATTTATATCAAGAGTCTCCTGACTCCGAGGTCTACTCCCTGTTTACCAAGCCACGCTGCCTCACAGATATAAAATACATATTTTCAAAACAGGGTGGAACAGAGAGAACCCAGACAGCTGGGGCAATCCTGGAAAGCTTCCTGCAGAAGGCAGTAGCAGCTGGGCCAGAGCTAGGGATGTCGAGAGGCAGACTGGAGTAGGCAGAGCGGTGGGAGGGGGAGAGTAGCATGTTTGAGGCACAGGAAGGAGGCCAGTTTGGCTGAAACAGAGAGTGCATTGGGGGAATCATGTGAAGTAAGTTCTGGAAGCCAGGCCAGTGCAAGATAGTGAGGGTCTTGAAATGCCAAGCAGATGTGAAATGATTAAGGATCAAACTTGCCCCCCAAGAAGGTATGGGAGAAGATGCCCTCCTCTACTTTTTGTAGAGGTGGGGAACCATGGCTGTGAAGTACTGTATACTTTTGTAGTTAGTTTTGCTGAAATTATTCTTTCTTTCTCTTTTTTTCCTTCTTTATTGTAAGGGATGGACCACTGGGAGGGGGCAGGAGATTGATGCAGTGGGAAATGTAGGTGACCTAAAGACAGATGATATGAGTCAAATAAAAGTGCCAAATATTTTCTCTGAGAGGCAGCACAGAGTACTGGAAGCTTCCTAAGTCAATGATTGACCTGGCAGCTGAGAGCCTGGTCCTCTAATGAGTGGCGTGGCAGAAATACCCTAACCCTGCTGCTCTGTTGGGCTCCTCTCTCTCATTGACTCAGCTGCTAGGGAAGCTAGCAGACTTAGCTTCAAAGTTGGGTCTCCAAGGCTGCTGAGGGAATGATGCAACCCTGGGCAGAATTTCCTCTTCAAGTGGGGCCCACTTGCTTGTTCTTTAAACACACCACAAGCCAGGGCCTCTTACTTATTATTAGGAAGTCTTGTTGAGGGGAGTGCTGTTTGTTTGACACTTGCCTAACTGGAGTGTTAAGTAAATAAAAGGAGCAGGGCTCCTCAGAGTCTCAGAAAGAGACATGACTCTCCCATTCTCCCGCTCCATGGGGCCTTGCTTGTAATAGATGTTCCATTTTGAGGTGGGGGAAAGGGGAGTGTATGAAGGAGTAGGTAACCAAGTGAAAGGGGGAAGGGATGAATGAGGAAGTAGATGGGCAAGTGAGAGAGTGGGAAGAGGGATGGAGAGGGACATGAGCGATTATGAAGTGGTGATCTGGGGAAAGGAATGAGTCGATTTCCAGTAACAGCTAATATTTATATAGCACTTTAGGGCTTGCTAAGCCCTTTTACAAATATTACCTCATTTAATCCTCACTAGAATCCTGGGAAAGTAGTTGCTATTATTATCCCCATTTTACGGAGTAGGAAACTGAGTTGGATAATGGTTAAGTGACTTGCCCAGGATCACACAGGCCCAGTTTGAACATAGATTTTCCTGACTTCTAGTCCAGTACTTTATCCACTGTGTCAACTAGCTGCCTCTCCAGAGAGAAGCCATCCTTTTTTGGAGGGAGCTGAGCGTGGGCCGCCTGCTTCTTGTTCTCGACGTTGGCTGCTGTGTCTGGGGAAGAGTATTTGTTCTGGCAGAAGCTGATGCAACTCTATATGGGCAGCAGGTAGTGGGTGTGAGGATAACTGGGAATAGGAGAGGACAGTGGGAGACTAGAAAAATCTCCACTCCAACCTCCAAAGGTCAAAAAGCATTGGAGTGCCCTGGGTACAGGAGTGCCAGTGAGGCTGCCTCTCAGTTGAGAAATTAAAAATACTACTACTACTACTACTACTACTACTACTACTACTACTACTACTACTACTACTACTACTAGTTCCACTACCATTACCACTACCACTACTACTACTGCTACTGCTACTACCACCAGACATTTACTTAACACTTTAAAATTTGTCCAGGGCTTTACTTAGCTGTTTCATTTGATTCTCCCAGAAACCCTGGTAGGCAGATGCTTCAGGCCTTATTTTTCCCTTTTTATAGATGTGGGCACGGAGGCAGAGAGAGTTTGACAGCTGAGCTGAGGGTAGATTAGGGTGGGGAGAGACTTGAGACAGACAGGGAGAGCAGATCTATACCAGGGTGATGGCTGTGAGTGAGTGGGGAAAAGGGGACATAGAGGAGAGATATTAAGAAGGGAAAGAGACAGAACTGGCTGGGTGATTGGATACATGGGGTGAGTGCAGGTGAGGAATCAAGGATGACACTGAGGGAGGGAGAGAGAAAGGAAGGAAGGAAGGAAAGAAGTCTACTATGTGCCAGGCATTGCACTTTAATAATAATAGCTAAAATTCACTACATTCCAGTAGTAATAAAATTACTATATTTACTACATTCCAGGCACTGTATAAATACCTTATGATTATTATCTCATTTGACCTTCACAACAATCCTGGGAAGTAGGTGCTGTTATTATCCCCATTTTACAGATGAGGAAACTGAGGCAGATAGGGGTTAAGTGACTTGCCCAGGCTCACATAGTAAGTGTCTAAGGCTGGATTTGAACTCAGGTTAGCTCGACTCCCGGCTCAGAGCTCTAGCCACTGTGCCACCTAACTGGGTAACTGGGAGGATGGCAGAACCCTCAATACTAAATGGGTTTGACGTGTTTGAAGCAGGTCCCCATGGGAGGTAGAAAACAGATTTTTACACAGTTTGTGTCATGGTGTCTTCTAAGTCACAGGCTGAAGGATTAGGGCTGACAATATAGTGGTTGCTATGATAATCTTGTCCTATCTGCCACCCACATCTTCCTAGAGATGGTTTCAGTGAAGAGCTCACATCCGTGAAGGGGCTTGGTCTCTGCATCTGGGAGCCTGTGATTTGACACTTTCAGTTACTAAAACCCGGTCATTTTTGTCCCCCTGCACAATAGTCTGCAAAACATGAAACACAAAAGAACAGGAGAGGGGCTGGCGACTTATCCTAGTCCTGGGCTGGTCTGAACTCCTTCCCTTGCATTGGAATGCTGCCCAGTCTTCAGCAGCTGGGCCACCTGGGGCACTTAAGCCCTCTTGGCCTCCATTTCTTCATGTGTGAAATATGGGGTTCAGACTCAGTAACCTCTAAGGTCCCTTCTACCTCTAAACTGATGGTTCTAGGAATATGAACTAGAACAGTAGTAATAAATAGCTGGCATTTCTAGAATGCTTTAAAGTTTATCAAGTGCTTTACAAATATTATCTCAGTTTATCATCACAACAACCCAAGTGGTACATGCTGTTATTATCCCCATTTTATAGATGAGGAAACTGAGGAAGACAGCTTAAATGACTTGCCCAGAGTCATACAGCTAGTAAGTGTCTGAGGCCAAATTTGAATTCAGATTATCCTGACTCTAGGTCTGGTGCTGTATCCGCTGTGCCATCTAGCTGCCTAATTCATATTAAATTATTATTATGCTAATATTAATCATATTAATTTAATATTACTATTAACAGTAATAATAAACATCCCATCAAATATTAAAATAACAGTAATGATAATAAATATTCCATCAAATACAAGGTAGGAATAATAATAATAATAATAATAATTAATAATTGGTTAATTGGTTGGTGATTATTTCCATTTCTATAGTGTATTAAAAAAGTGATGGTTTATGCATAGCAAACACCTACTAAATGTTTGTTGTATTGAATTGGAAATCACCATCCCATGAAATAGGTAACAAAATTCTTATTATATTTATTTTGCTGGTGGGAAAACTGAGACTCCCAGGTAACTGACTACCCCGGGGTCATGAAGCTAGGCAACATTGGACCTAGGATTTGAGCTCAGGTGTCCTCACCCCACACTGTCTCCATGATTTCAGGGGGTCACCACTTTCCACAAACCCTGAGGGACAGGGCAGTTTCCAGAGCCCCCAGTTTTTTCTGCTAATACTCTTTTTGTACCTGTATTTCCCCAGGTGAAAATGAGCTACTCAGGTTTTCTTCCATCAGAACCTCTCATGACAAAATCTTGCTGAGATGGGAGCCTTATTGGCCTCCTGATTTCCGAGACCTCTTGGGATTCATGCTGTTCTACAAAGAAGCGTGAGTAGAAACATGGAGCTGGGAAACCATGAGGAAGCCAAGGGAAACAGTTGAAGGAGGCCTGCTATTCCCCTAACTCCCCGAGCTCGCTCTTCAAGTGACTGTTGTCTCAACTTATTCCCTAATTAAGTGTTTGAAAAATAGGAGAAAGACAAGTGTGTAGCCATCTGTTCTGTATTTGTTAATTAGTCTTCTGATCTTGGCTTTTTGGATTACAATGTGAATTCCTTTTCTTCCCATCGATTCATGTATATCCTCCCATATTACTCCAACTTCTTTGCATTCGTCATTTCTAAGAATGAAGCATGTATTAAGTGCTTACTGTGTACCAAGTTCTGTGCTAAGTTCTGGGGTGGTTGGTTGCTGTCCTTGGTTGTCGAAGAGGACAAAAATGACGTCACGGTGCTAGAGACAATTCTGGTGTGTCTGTCTGTGGCTGATCAGACTGATATGAGCTCACAATGTTCTACCACAGGGTGGGCACAAATAGTCCATGGCAACGTTTGGAGTGGATTCTCTAAATTTGAGCATCTCACATTTCTTTGGAGCTACTTCAATTCTGCTTTGCTCTTAGAGCACAGCACCTTCTCTGTGTGGGCATGCCATGCTGGCCAGTCCTGTGCCAGTGTCTCCTATGTTGCACAATCATTTCCAAAATTCTCAAGAGAGACCTTGAGAGTGTCCTTGTATCGTTTCTCCTTACTGCCATGTGAATGCTTGCCCTGTGTGAGTTCTTCATAAAATAGTCTTTTTGGCAAGCATACATTCGTATTTGGACAATGTGGCCAGTCCATTGGAGTTCTGGGGATAAAAATCCAAAAGCAGAGGCAGTCCCCACCCCCAGGCAACCCCCAATCTAATAAGGAGAGAGAGCATATAGAGGGAAGTGATGGCCGGGAAATTGGTATTTTGGTCCAGAAAGTTCCCAAGATGGTGAGTCGAGCCATAGTTGAATAGATGGTTGCACCTCTTCCAGAAACAAGGGGCAGAATGGATGTGATCATGGTTCTTGATTTGGAGGACAGGGTTGGGGACCCCTGGGGAACCCTGGTGTCATTTGGGGAAATGACCTGGTGTGGAATCTCGAGTCTCTGGTCTGGGTCGCAAGGTGTTTGTTGAACTTGTTGAAAAGACAGCTGAGGAATAAGGAGTGACGTGAAGCATGGCTGAGGCCAGAGAGGCAGTAGGGTCCTCGGGCAGAAGCTCCCGTGATGAAAGAGTTAAAATCTCCAGGACACAGAGGAACCTCTCTGGGTCAGGAGGCAGGGCGGCTAAGGCTGGCTGCGAGCTTTCTTCTGGTGCAGTAATGTGTACACAGCACGGTTGTTTCAGCCATTCCCCAATCAGTGGGCATCCGTCCACTTTGTTTCCACATTTTTGCCACCACAGAAAGTACTGCTATGAATATTGCTGTAAATATGGGACTTTTTTTTCCCCATCCTCCATTCCTTTTGGTTATTGACAAATTCTTACAGAAATCCAAATTGTTTTTCAAAGCAATTGGCTCATTTCACAGCTCCACCCACAGTGTGTTAGTGTGCCTATCTTTTCCCAGTCCTTCCAACACTGACTGTTTCCCAAATTCCCTTACAGTCTTGGAATTTAAACTCCATCATAGACTCTTGATTCAAAGATATGAAATCTTTGTGGGAGGAAGGGACCATGGGGATTTTGGAATCCCTCTTTAGTGCAAAAGTGAGCTGCTGGCTTCTTCCCTGTCTAGCAGTGGTTTATCTCAGGGATTCGAACGGTTTGGACGGACTGATGATGTTCAGTTGTTTCAGTCATGTCAGCACGTCCAGCTCTGTGACCTCATTGGGGTTTTCTTGGCAGAGACACTGGAGGGGTTTGCTGTTTCCTTCTCCAGCTCATTTGACAGTTGATGAAACTGAGGCAAACAAATTGACAGATCCAGGATCACACAGCTAGTAAGTGTCTGAGGCCAGATTTGAACTCAGGAAGATGACTCTTCCTGACTCAAGGCCTGGCTGTCTATCCACTGTGATACCTAGCTGCCCTAGTTCTAATGAATTAGGCCTTTTTGAGGAAGCAGCCTACCATAAGGTAAAGAGTGCTAGAGTTCCAGAGATTTGAATTCCAATCCTGACACTACCGAGATTTGATTTTCTCATCTGTAAAATGGAAATAATAATAACCGTGCTTTCTACCTCAATTACAATTTTGCTTTGTTTAAGAAAATTTTTTAAAATAATTTTGCTTCCCTGCCCAAGAGAATGACTTTTGTACAATACAGAACACAACAAAGTAAATAATAGGTCACTGAAATCCAAGATAAGTGGACAAGAGAGTAAGGGATCACCTAGTTAATGGGTAGAGTACTGGGCCTGGAGTCAAGAAGACCTGAATTCAAATCTAGCCTCAGACACTAGCTGTGTGACCCTGGATAAGTCACCTAACTTCATCAGCCTTTGTTTCTTCAACTATAAAATGGAAATAATAATAGCACCTACCTCCCAGGATTGTAATGAGGATAAAATGAAACAATTTGTAACACACTTGACAGACCTTCAATTGTTACATAAATGTTTATTATTAATTTGTTGCCCTCAACGAGTTCTAATCAATGAAGCCACATAAGCTGGCGGATGTAATTGCAAGATGGCAGATGTGATCTTTGCAAGATCATGCAGAAGGGGATGAGATGTTGCAGCACTGGAGAAGGGCAAATGTCCTATATTTTTTTAAAGGAAGAATTTGTAAACTAGAGGCCTATGAGTTTAACTTTGTTTGCATCTCGTCACCTGAAAGTTCTACATCCCTTGTATTTGCTTTATAGAAGGACTAGAGTAACTAGACTCTCATTTTCTGTTTAGAAACTTTTTCTATAGTATCGGACTTACCTGTTGCCCTAATTCTTCTAGAGTACCATAATACCGGAGGTCAAGCCAGGCCTTCTCCAGAGAATAAGCTCAGCCTGAACAAGTTGGGCAGCTGCCCCAGATTCTAGCCAGCATTCTATCGGGATAACCCTTTATTCTCTGTGTTCTACCCAAGGCCTTACCAGAATGTGACCGAGTTTGATGGCCAGGATGCCTGTGGGTCCAATAGCTGGACAGTGGTTGACGTTGAACCCCCAGTGAGGTCAAATGATCCCAAGACGCAGAATCAACACCCAGGGTGGTTGATGCGAAACCTGAAGCCGTGGACCCAGTACGCCATCTTTGTGAAGACCCTGGTGACCTTCTCTGATGAACGGAGAACCTATGGTGCCAAGAGTGAGATCATTTACGTCCAGACCAATGCCACTGGTGAGTTGTCATTTCGTGGACGTGAAAACCATTTAGGGGATTGTCTCGGGCCGGTCATCCAGCCCACAAAGGACAGGACCCCTAGGTAATGCACATATTTGCAACCAAGTCCAGTGCTTCCTCCCCTCCCCCGACCCTCACCCCCAATACTCAGTGCAATGAGGAAATTGTCTTGAGTTACTAACTGGCAAAGAAGAGTCTCTGTCAAAAAGGGAAAGATGTTCTCTGCGCTAAGCGCACTGGAATTTAGTCAGCTGAGGAAAGCTCGACTTCGCTGCAAACTTTTTTCCTGTTCGTAATGTTCCTGATTTGGGTCATTGATAAAGTTCTCAACCTAAGAATGTTCCTTTCTCTGGAATGATCTTTATCTCCATGTGGTTAAGATGGCATCATGCCATCTTATTTAAAATTCTGATGTTATGCTCTGATTCCCCAAGGAAGGGCTTCTTTGCAAATGATAACTGGGATGGTAAATTTCATCCCTTTTTAAAATAGATTTTTTGAATGCCTTTTGGTTTGGTGTCATAGGCATTTCTCAACAGCTTTCCTGCTCCACACCTAATAAGTCCTCCCTTGTAAAAAAGTAAAAATAAAAAAAGTCAGTTCAATAAAACCAACTCACCCAGTGACATTGTGTGCAATTCCTTACCATTATGCCCCACTCCTCTACTGAAGGTAGGGAAAGATACTTCCTAATGTCTTCTTTGAGGTGAAGATCGGTCATTATAATTACTCAGCATGCGGCTTTATTTGAGCAGTGTTTTTGTTTACATTATTGTAGTTATTCTGTTTATTGTTCTCTTGTTTCTGCTTACTGAATTCTTCATCAATTCATGTAAGTCTTCCCGTGCTTTTCTGAATTCTTCCTGTTTGTCATTTCTTATGGCACAATAGCATTCCATTCCATTTATATACTAGTTTGTTTAGTCTCTCCCCAGTAGGCACCCACCAGTTTATTGCTACCACAGATGTGCTGCTATAATTATTATGGTACACATGGGATATTTCTTTCTGTCTGTCTTCTACCATCTTGGAGTTTAGACCCAGTAGTAGGATCTCTAGGCCAAAAGTTATGACTGAATAGCTTAGTCATTTTTCCTCATCATCCCAAAATGATTTCCCAAATGATTGGATCTGTTCACAGCCCCACCAATAGTGTATTAGTATGCCTGTCTTCCAGCAGCCCCACCTACATTTGACTCTTCTGTCTTTTGTCATCTTTGCCAATTTGTTTTCTTCCTATTTGCAGTTCCTTCAGTCCCATTAGACCCAATATCCGTTTCCAATTCTTCATCCCAGATCATTTTAAAGTGGAAACCACCCTCTGAGCCAAATGGTAATATTACACACTACTTAGTGTACTGGGAGAAGCAAGCTGAGGACCTTGAGCTCTACGAACTTGATTACTGCCTTAAGGGTGAGTAGGTCAACACCTATATGTACATACCCATCCAGGCACACACATACCGCTCTCTTAGGTCTTTACATGTTTTACTGAAGGGTCATTATTCACAGAGTAAGAAGGGCAAAACCTTAGAGTTGGAATAATAATAACTAACAAATAGTACTTTAAGGTTTACAAAGTGTTTTATATACATATGCACACAGATAGTGAGGTAGGTGGGGGGGGGAGGAATAAGCATTTATGTGTGTGTGTGTATAGCTCACTATATGTCAAGCTAGTGTACGTAAAGCAAATGTATATAAATGAAAATGCTTTACAAATATTAACTCATTTAATCCTGTTATTGTCCTCATTTTACAAATGTGGAAACTGCGAGACCTAGAGAGATTCAGTGACTGACCCTGGGGTCAGGTGTCTGAGGCAGGATCTGAATTCTGTACTTCCTGCCTCTAAGGCCGGTACTTCATCCCCTCTGCCATGCTGCCTCTCAGGTCAGCTACTTCAGGCCCCTCATTTTACAGACGAGGAACCAGAGGTTCGTTGAAGTCAAGCGACTTGGCCAAAGTCATTCAGGTTTCAGAGACTCCTGTATTTGAACCCTGATCCTCTTACAGAAGCTGGCATGCTTCCTACTATACCCCACCACCATCAGAATCACAGATGCTTAAAATATGGAAAAGAGATTTTCAGTCTTGGTTCAGCCGAGTGGAATAAGTAGTTTGTAGCTGCTCTCACGATAAGTAGGTTAATGGCCTTATACTATATCACTAAAGAGTGACCTCTGCCATTGGTTCTCCCTGTGGACTGAATAGAAGAGCCTGCTAGCATCACTTGGGCCAATCTAAATGTTCCCCGTTCTGTGCTTGGCAAGATCAAGGCCACAGGAACTTGTCTTTACCCAAAAAATGCTGAATTGGATAGGCACTACATCTGGTCCCCAAGAGGGGTGCCCAAAGTATGCAAATCTCTCTGGTTCTTTTTCTAAAAAAGTATGGGTGGGGCAGCTAGGTGGGGCAGTAGATAGAACACTGGACCTGGAATCAGGAGGACCTGAGTTCAAATCCGGCCTCAGACACTTGACATTAACTGTGTGACCCTGGGCAAGTCACTTAGCCGCAAATGCCTCACCAAAAAAAAAAAAAAAGGACGTATAGGTGACCTGAGCTTACATTCAAGATCTGAGTTCAGGGTCTGCTATTTTACTAGAAATCACTATTGCCATGATAAACAGAGAGGAATCTGCTTATGCCCATTGTTAATATAGTTAATTAGTAAGCTAATGATTTTAAAATGCTTTACCCTTGTAAAATGCTGTATAAAGAACTGACTGTAGACTGAATCTTTTCCTAAAATGGGGGAATCTTGGACCTGGAAGGGATTTCCAAGATCACCTAGTCCAATCCTCATCTGAGGCATAAATCCCTCCAATATCATTCCTGAGAAGGGTCATCTGCCCTCTGCATAAAGCCCCAATAGAATGTAAGCTTTTTGAGGGTAGGGATTATCTTGTAAATGTTTGGACTGAATCAAAAGCCTCCAATGAAGAAGAACCTAACAAGGCAACCCATTCTGACTTCAGACGACTCTAATTTTTCCACTGTCAATTCAACAAGCATTTATTAAGCGTCTACTGTGTGTCAAAGGGGGGGGTGGGATCTCCTAGATCACCTAGCCTCGTCCCCTCATTTTACACATGAAACTAAAGTCCAAATAAGAAAGAAGAGATGGCCAGAGTCACCCAAGAAATAAGTGGCGGAGCCAGGATTTAAGTCAGTGTCTCTTAATTCTAAATACAATGATCTATGCCAGAATAGCCAGGTTCTGGTCAAGAATCTGACACATTATTACTTGGTTGATACACAAGATGAGTTTTATATATATTTTGCATATATCTGTATATATACAGACTGCCCTCTTATTAGAATGCAAGCTCCTTGAAGGCAGGGACAGTTTTTGCTTTTTCTTCCTATCCCCATTTCTTAGCCCATTGCCTGGCATACAGAAAGTGCTTCATAAATGTTTAGTGATTTATTGATGAGGAGTACAACTACAATAAGCATTCATTAAAGTGACATATATGTATGTTGAAATACAGTAAACATGCACTAAGAATTAGAATGTGAGCTCCTTGAAGACAGGGACCCACCTTTTAACTTAGTAGAGTGACCAGCATATAGGAAGTACTTAATAAAAGCTCGTTGATGGATTGACTGAGTACCTGCTGAAAGCTGTGAGAGATAGAGAGTTTATCCAAGCCCTAGTTCTTCATGGACCTCACTACATGTAGTAGGGTTAGAAACAAAAGCTAACGATGGCTGTAATATGCAATCTTACGTTGCTGCTTTTGGTAGTACAAAGTGGAAAGATCTGTTTGGCCAGGTTGGTGGGAGCGGGTTGTTCCCAGTTAGGAGAATCAGACAAGGCTTCATGGAGGAGGTGACCTATAACCTGGGCTTTCAACTCTAGGTAGGAATTTGGAGCTGAAGAGGAGAGGAGGGGCATTCCAGATACGAAAGGTCTCTCGTGTCCTTCAGTCCAAATTTGTCTCCCTATGACATTATCAGCCACTCCTGGTTCTGCCCTCCAGGGCCAGCTAGATCAATCTCCAGTCCCTCTTCCACATGACACCTTTGAGTTCCATGAAGACTGCTGTCAGGGCCCCCTCCCCCACCTGACAACTTCTCCAGCATGAGAGAAGCATCCCCACTTCCTCCATCTGTTCTGTTCTGTGGCATGATTTCAAGCCAATCAGTCTGTTGCCAGGCACCAAGCTGAGTAACGGGGATACGAAGAAAGGCAAAATCTTAAGGCCCTTCACTGTCCTGGTAGTTTAAAACTCTGTCTCCTCTTCCATTGTAGATAGCTATGGGAATGGTTATGTTGCCATTTAGACCCAACAGTACCTGAGTAAGAATCTCTTCTGGAGCATCCCTAAGTAATTGTCCAGCCTTTTCTTGATCTCTAATGACGAGGAACTCACTGCCTCCCACAGTGGCCCATTCCACCATGAGATTGCTTTAATTATCTAAGGAATAAGCATTTTTATAGCGGCTCCTATGTGCCAGGCACTGTGCTAAGCACTTTACAAATATTATCTCATTTGGTCCTCATGCCCTGTCAATTAAGTGCTATTATTATCCTCATTTTATAGTTGAGGAAACGGAGACAAACATAAGTGACTTGTCCAAGATCCCACAGTTAGTAAATATCTGAAGTAGGGTTTGAATTTTCCTCTTCCTGACGCCAGGCCCAGTGTTCTATCCACTAGGCCACCAGCTGCCTCAAACTAGCAGGGAACAAGCCTAATTTTGCCTCTGTGCCTTTTCCACCACTGCTCCTCATTCTGCTTGACCCAGAGGGCAAAACTTCTTTCTTTCACATGACAACCCTTCCAACATTCAAGTACTTGAAGACAGCTGCCTTGTCCCCCCTCAATTCTCTGCTCCAGATGAAACATCCCCTGTTCCTCCGACATTGTCTGATGGCCTGAGATTAATTGCAAAACAGAACATAACTGTATGCGGACTCACCTGTTCTTAATCTATTCTGGGATCTTCAGAAGGGAATGGGACAGCAAAACACGGGACAATGCTGTTGCAATCACAGACTAGTTATGTATGTTTTCCCAGGAGAAGGAAAATGCTAGATCATTGTAAGTGACAGAGGAAGACAAACATTTTGAGGAGAGTCCTTTACAGAGAGGGGCTCAAGGAATTGGTAGTATTAAAAAGAGCCCCTTCGGGCAGCGGATAGAGCACTGGCCCTGAAGTCAGGAGGACCTGAGTTCAATTCCGGCCTCACAGCAAACACTTGACACTTACTAGCTGTGTGACCCTGGGCAAGTCACTTAACCCCAATTGCCTAAAAAATTTTTTTTTTAAAAAGAGCCCTTTCTTGTCAGTTAGTGAATCCATCAACAGGCATTTATTAAGCATCTGGAATATGCCTGGGGGCAGTTAGGTGGAGAGAGTATGGGGCCTGGAGTCAGGAAGACTCATCTTGAGCTTAAATCTGGCCTCAGACATTTGCTAGCTCTGTGACCCTGGGCAAGTCACTTAACCTGATTGCTTCAAAAAAGGAAAGGGGGGAGGGAGGGAGGGAGAGAGAGAGAGAGAGAGAGAGAGAGAGAGAGAGAGAAGAGAGAGAGAAGAGAGAGAGAGAGAGAGAGGAGGGAGGGAGGGAGGGAGGGAGGGAGGGAGGGAGAGGGAGAGAGAGAACAAGAGGAAAAAAAGAACAAAAAAGAAAATTGTTCAGGCCTTTTAAAGGAGGGAGCATTTGAGTTTGAGTTCTCAGAAGAAGAGGTGAAGAGGGAGAAGGGAGACAAACAGCCTAGGTCAAGATGACAAGGCTTGGTCTGTCCCCTGCTATCAGGTCGGTGAGTGCTGAGGACGTTTTTGAAGGTGCAGCTCAATTCGCTAACACATATTAAGGCCATACTGTGGGCTCATCTTTGTGGATGCAAAGAGAAGAACTAATCAGTCTTTTCCTTCAGAGGGCTTACATTCTACAGGTGATTCGACACACACATAAATAAGTATATGCAAAATATGGTAATACAAAGTAATTTCCAGAGGAAAGAGAAAGCTTATAATTGGAGGGATTGGGGAAAGGTCTTTCATAGGCAGTGTCTCCTGAAAGGTGCAGATCTGGTGAGGGTAGGTAGCCTGACTCAGTGTGCTGGATTCTTTGGTGTCCATTCTTCAAGTCTGATCCCTTGACAGTGAAATTGGTATAGCTTACTGGAAAGAACCCAGGACTCAGTCACAGGGCTTGAGTTCAGATTCTATTTCCACTACTTACTTGCCTATGTGACCTTGGCCAAATCTGCTCTGCTCACTGGGCCTGCTCTGCTCCTTTATAGAGTGAGAGGATTGGATCATGAAGTGATCTCAAAGGAAGGTCCCTTCTAGTTCTAACCGCTGTGTTCTTGTGACCTGTCAGAAAGGGTTTCCACGAGTTAGTCTGATGCCTCTGAGTGTCTCCCTTGATTGACTGAGTCACTTTAGGTGAGCACCGTCCCATGCTGACTTTGTCTCTCTTGTCTGGGCTTCTCTGCAGGGTTAAAGTTGCCATCCAGGACCTGGTCCCCTCCTTTTGAGTCTGAAGATTCTCAGAAACACAACCAGAGCAACCATGAGGATCCCAATGGAGAGTGCTGCTCTTGCCCGAAGACTGACTCCCAGATCTTAAAGGAGCTGGAGGAGTCTTCCTTTAGGAAGATGTTTGAAAATTACCTTCACAACGAGGTTTTCATCCCCAGGTGAGACATGCCCTTGCCCTTTCGCACCTTTGTGGGGATTGATTTGGTTCTGAGCCCCAGGTGGGCCTGGAGAATGGTAGGGTGTAATTGAAGGGGCCTGTTGTGTGGAATCAGCAACTAAACAATGAGTTATCTTCTAATTAGCACCACAGAGGCCTATTCGCAATAATTGGATGATTAAATGGGGGAAGAATATGGAGGAGTGCATCTAATTCTGAGCGCCATGTTTTAGGAAGGCCATTGCCCAGCAAGAGAGGTCCAGAGGAGGGCAGCCATGATGGTGAAAGGCTTCAAGATCATGCCACATGCTGATGGGGTGAAGGAATTGGGGATGTATAACCTTGAAGGCAGTAGGGATGAAAAAGAGCACACTGGGAGAGGAGGTGGGGATGGGAAGGAACAGGAACGTGATAGTTGCCTTCAAGGGCCATCACCTGAAAGCGGCTCACGTGTGTTCTGCTCAGCGACAGAGGGTGGGACGAGGGGCAGTGGGTGGAAGGTGGAGAGACAGTTTAAATTTGGTGTGACTGTTCCTAAATATGAGAGGTGTCCAGTAGTGCTGCCCTGGGAGCTGGCGGGTTCCCCTTCCCTGGAGGTCTTCAAGAAAAAGCTAGGGGACCATTTGACAGGTATGTTGTAGAAATGATTTTGTTGAGGTACAGGCTCGACAAGATGGCCAATTCTGATGTAAGTGATTCTCTAAAAAAGACATTATTTTCTTCTCTTCCTCCAGTACCTCCCCAAAACAAACATTTATGAGAAAAAGTCTTTGGAAGAAAATTCCTTCTCTTCTCTCTTGCTGCCCCACCCCTAACACCTGGCCAACTTTCTAGTTCTTGTCGAGGTCATCAAGATTATCCATCTAAATTCTCAGTTGGATCCTTTCTGGGGTCAAGGAACTTTATCTTTCACTGCCATTCAGCGAGCATTTATTAAGCCCCTACTGTGTGATAAGCAATGAAGATATAGAAACAAAAATGAAACAGTCCCTACTCTAAGGTGCCTATATCCTCCCAGATGGGATCAAACCTAGAATTCTATTATGCCTTTACTTCCCCAAATTTCCTACTCTTCCTCTTCTTGAGAATATCTTTCAAGTGCAGAGATTCCTTGAAATGCATGCATTTGTCCTTTCTCATCCATCCCCTATTTCAGAACTGTTAGATGTGAGTCTGTGAAGACTTTTCCTCAACTACAGCATGGCTTGAATGTTATCTACAGGGAAAGGCTCCCTAGCCATTCCAACTCTGTCTCCTGGTTAAGTTACAGATAGAAGTGTCTGGTTGTGGTTGGCTATTTTTTTTAGTCATTTCTGGCCAGGCAAGTTCTTTAATTCAACAGCTGTTACAAGCAGGCCATTCTCTCTCTCAGCCTGGTGGGTCAGCTTGTTGGTATATCTTAAGGAAGTCGGCGTGGCCATGTATATTTCCTCCAAATAGCCTTGCCCTCTATGGCCCAATGCACCACCACCTGGTGCTAGAGTCATCCTGCACTTGATAACATTTTTCCCAGTATTCACCTGTGCCCAGTCCTAAGGACGCACAATCCCTTTGACTGGTTCTCTGAGGCTGCCAGACCCCTGTGCTAGGAAACTTGGCATCGCCCTTTAGTCAGAGCATTGAGTATAGGAAGCCAGCGCTTAGTGCTGAATCTGCTGTGTGTGTCCAGTGCTGTCCTTTGTAACACATTCCGGTCCATGGTTAGGGAGGCCTGGTAACCATATAACAGCATCTAGGAGAGCTCTTCCTCCTTGGCCTGCATCCAGAGATAGAGCAGGAGGGGCAGCTAAGGTGGCGAAGTGGATAGAGTGCCGGCCCTAAAGTCAGGAGTACCTGAGTTCAAATCTGGCCTCAGAGCAAACTCTTGACACTTACTAGCTGTGTGACCCTGGGCAAGTCATTTAACCCCAATTGCCTAAAAAATAAAAAAAAGCAAAAAACAGAGACAGAGCAGGAGGTGGGGCTGCTCTTCCCTGTCCATCTTCTACTACCCCTCTGAGTGATGATGGGAAGCTGTGATCCTTGCCTCTGTAGCCCATATGGACCATGTGGTTTATGGAGCTAACGTGACTAGGAACGTTTGTTTTGGCCGATCTTGATGTTTGAACTTGGGGAGTTCTGGCAGGAAAGAGGGAGCGGAATGTGCTGAGATGCTCTGGAAAGGGTGTTTTCCTTCCTCACCCCGTTTCCTGGTCTCTCTTTTCTTCATTCTACAGCCCTCCCTCACCCTGTTTCTTCTCTTTCCATCATCCTTTTCCTCTGACTTCCTGAAGAGACAGGACACCGTGTCATGCAAGGATCAGTTACATGAACTGGTGATGTTTAGCTGGACAAGAGGAGACGTCAGGGGAAGTGGTTGATGTCTCCTAGTGTTGCAAGGATTATTGTGTGGTGGAGTGGGCTGCTTTGGGAGCTTTCACTGGGGTCCTTCAAGCAGATGCCAGAGGAGCTCTTGCTGGGGGACCGTAGGAGATACTCTTGGTTAAGCCCTGAGATCTGAGATCCTTTGGAATGGGAACATCAGTAATCCTCCAGCAGTTTGCTGCTGTGCTGGCCCCTTTCAGCTTTTTGGACTATGCCCCTGCAGCTCTTATATGGGAACCCCAAAACACGCCATGGCAGTTTACGTGGGAGCGTGGGAGGGGGAGCTTTCCTTCTGTCAACAAACACAGTTCCTGTGGGTTCTCTCCCTGACCAGACTCTCTCAGCCTCCCCACAGATACCAGAAACCACTTTCTTCTTATAGAATCCAGCAGAGGCTTTGTGCCTGGACTACCCCCACCCCCTCTGCTCCTTTTCCTCCCTTCTGTCCTAAAGTTGCTGTTTTATTTTTCTCTCTGTCACATCATTGTGAGTCTTGGTTGCCTGAAGAGAGGTTTCCACATATGGATAAAAATGAGGCGAAGAAGAGATTTATTCTCTCCTGTTGAGGCATCCAGAGAGACATGGGATCTCAGAACATAGAGATAGAAGGGATTTGAGAAAACATCTGGTCCATCTCTCATTTTATAGAGGAGGAAATGGAGGCCCTAAGAAATTATGTGACTTGCCTACACAACAAGGAAATAGTAGTGCTGCGATTTGAACCCAGGTTCTCTTAATGATGAATCTTGCACCATTTCTAGTGCCCCAAGTGTAGTCCCCACGCTTGCTTTCTTGGAGCAGTGAGGCCAGCAAGGCTGTGCTTCATAATAGCAAGTAATGCCTATTAGAACTGACCAATTCTTTTTTTTTAATTATTATTATTATTAATTTTTTAAACATTTTTATTTAAAGTTTTGAGTTCCAAATTCTGTCCTTCTCTCCCCTCCTACTTCTCTAAGATGATAAGCAATCAAATGTAGGTTATACATTTGCAATTATGTAAAACATTTCCATATTAGTCATTTTGTACAAGAAGACTAGAAAGAAAAAAAATGAAAGAAAGAAAGTGAAAAATAGCATGCTTCGGTCTGTATTCAAACAATATCAGTTCTTTCTCTGGAGGTGGATAGTATGCTTCGTCATTAGTCCTTTGGGATTGTCTCAGATCATTGTATTGCTGAGAATAGCTAAGTCATTCATAGTTCTTCATCGAACAACGTTGCTGTTACTGTATACAATGTTCTTCTGGTTCCATTCACTTCACTTTGCATCAGTTCATGTAAGTCTTTCCAGGTTTTTCTGCAGTCATCCTGCTTATCATTTCTTATAACGCAGTAATATTCCATTGCAATCATATACCATAGCTTGTTTAGCCATTCCCCAATTGATGGGCATCCCTTCAATTTCCAATTCTTAGTCACCACAAAAAGAACTGCTATAAATATTTTTCTACAACTAGGTGCTTTTCCTTTTTTTTTTTTGATGTCTTGGAATATAGACCTAGCAGTGGTATTGCTGGATCAAAGGGTGTGCACAGTTTTATAGCCCTTTGGGCATAAGAACTGACCAATTCTTAAAGGAGTGGAAACCCTGAAAATATTTGTATCTGGAGGAAGCCCAAGTATCATTCCTTCAAATGTCAGCATCTTTAGTGTGTTTTCAGTAATCACAGATATAGAGAATTTTTCATATTTAAATTCATTTTGCTATCTTTTTGTTTTTCTATAACTTTCACTTCTCAATATATCCCTACTACTCACAGAGAGTCATCTTTTATAACAAAGAATTTTTAAAAAGAGAAATTTAATTTAGAAAACTAACCAACCAACTACATAAGTCTGACACCAAATGACATAAGGGCAATTTAAAGATGGCATGGTTTAGTGGTTCAAAGGCCTCCTGACTCTTAGAATTACTAGCTGTGTGACCTTATAGGGAGAGTTCTCCATGCAGAACAATTTAAAGATCTTTCACATGATCACATATATTGGCTTGTTTGTCTCGCTTGTATTTTCTCCCTTGTATTGTCTCTATGGGGTCTTGGAGGGGACCCCAGTAGAAGGTAGACACAGACACTGACTTGTTAAAAAGGCAAAACCCATTTTCAAACTTGGAGAAACTACCTACCAACTCAGGCTTTAGGCTGTTGGGGGTCTAAGCACATTTGAGGATCATCAGGTCAGAGGGCCTTAGGGACCTAATCCAGTTCCCTCATTTTGTAGTTAAGGAAGTTAAGGACCAAAGAAGGAAAGGCACAGAGGCAGTGAGTACTGGCAGAAATAGAATTAAAATGCAGGTGCTCTGTTTTGGGACTCCTGGGCCTTTTCTGCTATATTGCATTGATGACATCACTGACCAGTAGTAGGATCTGGAATCAGGAAGACCTGAATTTAAATCCAATTTCAGACACTTAACTAGCTGTGTGACCTTGGTCAAATCACTTAACTGCTTCTAGCCTCAGTTTCTTCACTTGTAAAGTGGAGATAATAGAAGCACCTACCTCCCCAGGTTGTTGTGAGGATAAAATGAGAAATTTGTAAAGCACTTGGTAAACCTTAAAGTACTGGGTAAATGCCACTTATGATTTTTGTTATTATTATTATTATTATTACCTTACTCACCTGCATTGTGGTAGTGGTTGAGGTCTTCCTAGATCAGCTTCTTCATTTTTTTCTTTTGAACTTAAGCATCAGAAAAAAAAGAGCATCTCCCTACATACAACTGAACACAATTTGCATTTCATACCACTTGGGTTTTTTTTAAGTCTATAATAAATTCCACACATTACTTTCAAAACTGCCCCCACTTACATCTGCTTCCTTCTGGGATGCCTTCTGTTCTCTTCTGTGCATCTAAAAAATATTCCAAAGCCCTCTCTTCTCTTATTTTTTGGGCATCAGCACTGCTAAAACCCCCCTCTTCTTCTCAAGCCTACCTCTCCAATTAAAAAACCAAGAGAAAGAAGAGGGAAAAAAAATAGTACTTGTAATAAACAAATATAGTCCAGCTAAGTGAATCAAGACCATGGCTGTGTCCCTAAATGGATGTCTCTAGCTGTACCCTGAGTCCATCTGACTTCTCAGTTACGAGATGAGTGATGTGCTTTGACATTTGTCTTCTGGAGACATGGTTGCTGGGGGGGTGGGGTGCAGAAGGGGGTTGTTTTTACCTAAGCTCGTCCCTGTGTTGCATCTTTGAGCCGTACCCCCTGTTGGGAACAGCGCATGAGCCTGGGGAGAACTTTCTGAGCTTCCTATGCGTGCATAACTGCCAGTAGGTGATGCTGGGTGAAGGGAGAACCTAGTGTAGTCAAAGGAGCCCCAGGCTTGAAATAAAATCCCTGCTTAGACGTGTTCTTGCTGTGTGATGCTGGACAAGTTGCTTTCCCTCTCTGAGTCTTAGCTTCTTCCTCCATAAAATGAAGGGTTTGGGTTGGAGGGTCTCCCAGGTTCCTTCCAGTTTCATATCCTGTAAGCTGTGGTCCCGATGAGCAAACTCTCCAGACTGGAATAAAAGCACGGGATATGTAACCGACAAAGTTCGATCTGCCTTCAACATGGTTGGTTTTGTTTCCACAGAAAAGCATCCTCAGGGAATGGCGCTGACGACTCTAGGTATGAAGTGAGCCTCTTGCCCTCCCTGTCTTGTCCTGCCCCGACCCTGCCCTGCTAGCCCTCGTTTGCTTTCTGGCCCGCAGGAGGCAGTGGATGGAGGGCGGGGAGGCCGATGGATGTCCGTGTTGCAGAACCTCTCTAGTGATTTGTTGTGGGTTTTAAATGTGCATTTGCATGTCCTGGCGCTGTCCTGCAGGGGAGCTTCCTAAACTAGCCAGGGCCCCCCTAACATTCGCTCCAAGGCATCTCCTGTGCGGCTTTCTCCTAATGACAACCCCGCATGAATGGCATCTGGGGTGGGGTAGGAGGGTGGGTGGGTGGGACGGAGGAACCAGCTTCACTAACACTTACAATGGATGTACCAAGCCATTACTGAACACCAGCTGTGGGCCCAGCGTGGTACTCGCCTTTTTTCAACAGCAATCAGTCAATCAATCAGGAAACATTATTGAGCACCTACTGTGTGCAAGGCACTGTGCTAAGCACTGGGCATACAAAAAGAGGCAAAAGACGGTTCTTGCCCTCGAGAAGCTTACAGTCTAACAAAGAGGACAACAAATATATACAAAGCAAGATATATGCAGGATAAATAGGAAATAACTAATAGAAGAAAGGCGCTGTAATTAGAGGAGTTGGGGGAAGGTTTCCTGTAGCAGATTTCAGTTGGGACTCAGAGGAAGCAAGGGAGGTCAGTAGTTAGAGTGGAGGAGGGGAAAGGCTTCTAGGCCTGGGGGACAGCCGGAGAAAAATGTCCAGAGCTGATCAGCTCCAAGAGAGGCTGGGTGAAGGTTCTGGCAAAACTCTTGCAGACTCCAGCTTTGGGGTATGTGCGTGTGGATTGGCTGGTTTAATTCTTTCAGCCACGACAAATGTTTGTGAAGCTACTCGCCCTGTGGTCAGCCACTGGGGGAAATGGAAGGTTTAGATAAGAGGTGGATGCGCCCTGTGGAGGCAGTGGGAGGGGTCAGGGCATAAACATGGATAACTGTAATACATCGTTTGATAAATGGCATGATAAGGGAGAGGTGGAAAACAGGACAACATTGGGGGAGAGAGTTGGGGAGGAGATTTCCAGGTCAAGAACGCTGGACTTTGGTCAGACGCAAAGCTCTCTTTTGCCCAGGAAGGCTGGCCCAGTTTAAAAGGGGAGAATGGGTATAGCTTTTTATTAGAAGGTAGCTGTTCATTCAGAACTGGCCTCTTCACTGTCATGAGGTGACTGCCGACAGAATACCCAGGCTATAAAAGTCATGGATTCTCTAAGCGGGGTGAGACTTCCCCTGAAGGAGACACCCCCTCCAAAGGGAATCCCAGGAGTTTCATTGAACCGAAGTGGAGTCATAGCTGGCACACTGGGACTTCTGGAAAAAAACCATCGTCTCTTTCTGCCTCAGTGGCAGGTAGCTTTATTGTTCATGACCCAGCAGTCATCACCTTTAGCTTAGTGTAGTTGATGGCTGGAGGCCTGCCTTCAAATCCTGCCTTTGAGGTTTCCTAGTGGTGTGTCCCTGGACAAATCCCCTCACCTTCTAGCGCTTCCCTGTATTATAGAAAAACTTACCTCCCTTGTGCTACTTGCTTCCCAAGATGGCGGGGAGAAACGCTCTTTGTAAGCTATGGATTACAGAATCGCATGGGAGCTGTTGCTCCTTTCACGATAGGATTTCACTAAGTGCCTGCTGTTTGCAAAGTTAGAGGCAGCCAGCCATAACAGAAAACGTGAAGCTGGCAGTGGCCCTGGAAAGAATGGCTTTGGGGCCAGAGACCCCTGATTCTGTTGCTTGCTCCCTATGTGACCTTGTGACATTTAACCTCTCTATGCCTCAGTTTCCTTCATTGTAAAGTGAGGGGGTAGAATTAGATTGACCTCTAAGGTCCCTTCCAGTTCTAGATATATGATTCTGCGAGCATCTGATTAGTTTTGTGACCCCGTGGGCAATTAATTTATTTAGCCTCTTGAAGCTTCATTTGTAAAATGAGGTTAATAATTATAGTAATACTTGCATGTGAAAGGTGAGAGGCAGTGATGCCTCCTGGACAAAGGGCGGGCCTCAGAGTCTCTAAAGATGGAGAGCAGATGTTAATTGGCATTGGCAAAGGGAGTTTCCAGACTGGGAGTCCCCCACACTGAAAAAATCACAAGTTCAAACCCCCAAATAAATAACACTCGTCTTTCCTGCTTTGAAGAGCTGTTATATGAAACGCCCATTGCAAGCCTTAATGTGCTTTAAGAATGTGAATTCTCCTTCGTCATTCTCCATCCCCATACCCTACCTTGGTTTCTCCCAGAAGCCTTTCAGTGTTCAGAGCCTTCGATGCCTTACATACATACTTCTTGGGCAGGGTCGTGACTATGGCTGGTTGGTGAAATCACAGGCTGAAGTCGCTGGGCCTTTTGCATAAGCTTCTAGGCATGCGGGCAGATGGCCCATTTGCTGGGACCAGGAACATCTTGCACCTGTGCAGCTCCAGAGACAACCACTAGCATTAGCAGTAATTAGCATCACAGGTATCTAGATGATACCAGATTCTTGGTCGAGTTTTTGCCAGTCCGTCACTTTGCCGCTCCCACGCAAAAAAGTCTGCACGTGTGTTTCTCTGATGTGATAAGTGGTGAGACGTGTTTGTCTGTCAGGGAAAAATGTTGAAAGGAACTGCCATTCGATGCCACCATCAAGGTTGCCAGGCGCCCAGATTCATGCCAGATTCCATAGGTTCGGTTCCCTAAATGATTTGTCTTGTTTAGCAGATGGGTTTCAGGATGTTTAGAGGAGAAATGTTTTGTCTGGTAGTACCAAAGGGCTTTGGGAAACACAGGGTTTTTTTGTTTTTGTTTTTTAGTGAGGCGTCAGGGTTAAGTGACTTGCCAAGGGTCACACAGCTAGCAAGTATCAAATGTCTGAGGCCAGATTCGAACTCAGGTCCTCCTGATTCCAAGGCCGGAGCTCCATCCACTGTGCCACCTAGCTGCTCCCAAAACTAACTCTTAAAAACTGTGTTTTCTGGGCAGTTAGGTAGCACAGTAGATAGAGCTCTGGCCTTGGAATCAGGAGGACCTGAGTTTGAATCTGGCCTCAGACACATGACTAAGCTGTGTGATCTTAGGCAAGTCACTTAACCCTGATTGCCTCACCAAAAAAAAAAAATTGGGACAATGATAGCTGGCTTTTGGTGCAGGATACTGACTTGTGAACTTAGGATGTTGTAATCTTGTGACTGCCCAATTCAGAGCAGTAATGGACAAACCCAGGAGGAGAACACAGACCCCACCCCGCACTGGCCCAGGGTATACTCCCCATGGGAGATTCTGAAGCCAGGCTGACCTAGGGACCCAGTCCCCTTGTCTAGTCGTGTTGGAGACACTGAAGGAGCTTGCCCCTGTCTAGGCTGCTTGTTCATTTTGGGGGCTGTTTGTGTTTTGGTGTTTAAGGGTTGTGTTGGTTTTGTCTGTTCTCCCCTGTATCCGTCCATTTTAACCTTTTTTGTGCCAAGTGAACTGTGTCCTCTACGCCATCCAGGGGACTGCACACAGACGTGGGGTGTGTGTATGTGTGTTACTCCAGGCCGGCAAGAAGGCGAAGGGATCTCCGGGTTCGTATGGCAAACATGACCGTGGTGACGCCCACGAGGTCCTCGCTCTCCAACGCCTCTTCCACCACAGCGCCTGCCAGCACCGAGGAGCCGAAGCCCTTCGAGAAGGTGAAGTCTAAGGAGTCCCTGGTCATCTCTGGCCTTCAGCATTTTACTGGCTACAGGATCGAGCTCCAGGCATGCAACCATGACGAGCAGGAGTCCAGGTGTGGCCTCGCCGCCTATGTCAGCGCGAGAACCATGCCTGAAGGCAAGTCAGCTTCCGTGTGCCTCCCCTGTGACACGCAATCTCATTCCCTTCTTCCCTGACTTACTCCACAAACATTTACCCAAGGCCCGTTTCATGTGTGTGGCATTGTGCACCTCTCCACCGATGGGTCCCAGAGGAAAAGGAGTTTGTTTGTTTTTAACCTGGATGATTTTATTCTCTCAGCGTTCTGAAGATCATAACTGTTAATCTCTTTTGTAAATTTATGAAAAGGTTGTTAAGGTTGTTTGGTTAAGGAAATGATGAGTATTTCCCAGGCAGAGTCATAAAAACAAGAAACAAAGGAAGAACAGTAGATGTAGTGACAGAAGACCTAGATTTGAATCCTGGCCTTGTCACTGATTGCTGTTATTATCTGTTTTAAAACATTGACGCATCCTCAGTCAATGTCCCATTCATCTCATAATCCTTGCCATGATTCCTGAGCTTTTTAGATATTTATTTTACTTTTGTAAAGTAATTTGATATGAAGTATACAACCCTACTTTCCAAAGTTATGTAACTTTGACATAAATACCCACTTTGGTTTTATTATGGATTCAATTTGAACAAATCACTTCTCTTTCTTCATCCATAAAATAAGGGGTTGAAGTACATGTCTGTGAGTTCCATTTTAGCTCTAGACCTGTGATCCTGCCACCACTTGTGTGTAATGCCTCCAGGTTACTTGGGAGGATGAAGTTGGTAGATGGATGGAGCTCAGGAGTTCTGAGCTACAGTAGAGCTGGGCTGATAGGTATTCGCACGAAGTTCAGAACCAATATGGTGACCCCCCCCCCCAAAGAATGGGAGGCTACCAGGCTGCCAATGGAGGGGTGAACTGGCCCAGGTGAGAAACAGGGTCCCGTGCCAATCAGACCTGTGAGTGCTTCACTTCCAGCCTGAATGAGGTAGGGAGATCTTGTCTCAAAACAAAACAAAAGCAGAAACAGCTGCTGATCCTTCACATAGACTCCTTTGTTTAAGAATGGGGGCCAGGCCAAGGGACTTCTTAGGGTTCCTCCATGGTCTTCCAGTTGAGTGATTGTGACCCTTCTGTTCTCTTGGTATTCTGACCTTCAGATTTTTTTCTTCTGTAGCCAAAGCTGATGACATTGTTGGTGCAGTGACCCACGAGGTGCTTGAGAACGTTGTCCATCTGCGATGGCAAGAGCCTAAACATCCCAATGGCCTCATTATTCTGTATGAAGTCAATTACTGGCGTGTTGGAGACACTGAGGTAAAGATTTGAATCCTGGCCTTACCACTGACTCCTGTTTTTATATGTTTTATAACATTGATGGATCCTCACTCAGTTTCCCATTCATCTTGTAATCCCTCCTATGATTCCTATTTCTACTCCTGGACCTGGAGACTGGAGGTTGGGAAGCCAGACATGTGTTCAGTGACTCAGTAAGCACTTATTAAGCTCCTACTGTATGCTAGACACTATGCAAGGCCCTAGGGATAAGGAGATAAAAATGAAGCAGTCTTTGCCCTCATGGAGCTTACATTCTGCATAGGTATCCAGTACACATATGTTCAATTAAAGAAGCATTTAATGAGTGCCTAAAATGTACCAGGCACTGTCCTAGGTGCTAGGGATGCAAATACAAAAGAAGAAATATTCCCTGTCTTCAAGAAGTTTACAGTTCAAAGGAGAATTTGACACGTACACAAGCAAATCAAAGTATTTACAAAGGATTCATTTAATCTGTACCTACAGTTTTATCTGTACAGGGAATTCCCAGTAAGAAAGCTCCCTCTACTGACACAGATAGGTAACTGTTTTGCAATATATAGACTTAAAGAGAGGTTAAATGACTTTTTTTAAAATTATTATGCTGTAAAGCTATAAGGAACCATAGAGATTATCTAGTAGAGGGTTTAGATTTTTTTTACAGTAGTCTATATAATACATTAAAATTTTTTTTCAATGAACAAAAATAAATTTTCTATCCATCCTACCCTTCCCTTCTCTGCCCCACATTGATGAAGGTAATGTTGGAAGAACAAACCTTTGAACCAACATACAGAGTCAAACAGAATGAATTTCCCTGTTGGCCATGTCCAACAAACATGTCTCAGTCTGCACCCCAAGTGCCCCCACTCATCTGTCAGGAGCTTCCTCATCAGTCTCAAACGAGATAATTATAAAATGCTTGGCAAAGTGCCTGGTACATAGTTGGTGCTTAATAAATGCTTCTTCCTTTCCTCCCCTCCCCTCACTGGGGAATCATGGTGCAAGGGTTCTTCAAGTCTTTCAAACTTGTTTAGTGAAGGGGTTCTTAACTTGGAGCCCATGACCTTTTGTAAAAAAAATTGATAAGTGTATTTCAATATAATTCATTTCCTTTGCAGTCCAGTGTATTTTGTTTTATCCATTTAAAAACATGATTCTCAGGAGAAGTCTGTAGGCTTCTCCAGACTGAGTACCCAAGGGGTCCAGGACCCACGAAAGATTATAAAGCACTGTTCTAGTCCAGACTCCTCATATTACAGTTGAAGAAACTGAGGCTGAATGACTTGTCCGAAAGTTGCCCAGCCTGTAAGTGTCCCAGCAAGGAACCTATTCACTATCACTGGACTCTAGGGTCAGAATGCCTTATACTAAGTGTCCTCCCAGCTCTGACATCCTGTATTCTAGCTGTGTTTTTGTGTCATGGACCCTTTTGGAAATTTGAAGACTGTGGACCCCCTTTCAATGCAAGGTATTTAAATGCATAAAGATTAAAATGGAAACCAATTACGTTGAAATACAATTATCTATCTATCTGTCTATGTATAGATATTTTAAGGTTTATACACTCTAGATTAAGAACTCCTGATCTGAATGTTAAAATTTGTTTTTGCATGTAACTGGGGAAAGATAAAATACTAAATAAAAAATAATTAAAAAAAAAAGAACCCCTGTTCTAAGAGTCCTCTCAGCTCTGACATCAGTGCTCTAAGCCATTTCCCAACTGTGACTTTCTGTGGCTCTGAGTTTTAAGCCAACTTCCTCTTTTGGCCCCTGTGGGTTTCATATATAGTGACCTCGGAGGCTTTTAGGAATAATGGTCACAATAAATCCCTCCTGAAACTAAATTGCTCCGTTCCCAAGGTTTTCTTGTGTGGCTCACTGGGGTTGGGGGAAATATTATGAGGAAACAGGCATTTATTAAGCACCTAACCATGCCAGTTTTATCTCATTCGATCCTCACAACAACCCTGGAAGTCAGGTGGTATCATTATAGCCATTTTGCAGCTGAGCAATCTGAGGCAAACAGAGGTTAAGTGACTTGTCCAGGGTCATATAGCTAGTAAGTGTTTGAGATTGGATTGGAACTCTGATCTTCCTGACTCCTGGCCCTTGCACTCTGTCCACTTCACCAAAGGTTGCATCAACGGGTGTTTCTTAGGGAAATGTCTCCCCTGCTTTTACTGATCTTACTTAAGGAGAGGGGCATTCAACATCTCAGCTAACCCTCTCATTTCAGAGATGGGCTAAGTCAAATCAACAAGCATTAATCAAGGACCTGGTATTTTGCAGGCACCTTGCTAAGTTCTGAGAATACAAAGAAAAGCAAATATGCACTCTGCCCTCAAGAAGCTTCCAGTCTAACAGGAGAGACAACACAGAAACAACCATGTACAAACAAGATATGGGCAGGATAGACTGGAAAGAACCAATAAGAAAGGCTTCTTCAGATGATAAGATTTTGGCTCGGACTTGAAGGAAGTGGGGGGTGGGGGGAGATGAGGAGGGAGAGTCTTCCAGACATTGGGGGGTGGAGCGGGGGACTTGGAAGATGGAGTGTCTTGTGTGAGGAACAGCCAGGGAGATAGTATCACTGGATTAGAACACATGGTGGTAGATGGGGTATAAGAAGACTGGAAAAGTAGAAAGAGGCCAGATTATTAAAGGTTTTAAAAGTCAAATTTTATATTTTGTATATATATTTTACATTTTTAAATTTTTATATTTGATTCTGGAGGTAATAGGTAACCCCAGGAGAGTATTGAATAGGGGAATGATGACATGGTCAGCCCTATGCTTTGGGAAGATTAATTTGACAGCTGAGTAGAAGCTGGACTGGAGTAGGAAGGAGGCTTGAGCAAGGAAACCAACCAGAAAACTATCAAAATAGTGCAGGTGTCAGATGTCAGCAGTGACAGAGGAGTGGGGGGGGGGTTCTACTAGAGATATCAAAGGGATGATGGATAGGACTCCACAACAGCGTGGTTATGGGGAATGAGAGAAAGTGAGCAGTCGAGGAGGGCACCTATGTTTTGAGCCTGAGTAACTGGGAAGATGGTAGTGGCCTCAACAGTAATAGGGAAGTGCAGAAGGGGGAGAGTTTTGGGGGACAGATAATGAAAAGCTAACGAATTAAGTTTTGAACAGACTAAGTTTAAGATGTCTTGCAGGAATTCCATTTTTAGATGACCAATAGCCCATTGGAGATATGAATATGAAGGTTGGGAAAAAGCTTAGGGCTGAATAAATCAATCTGAGAATCATCAGCACTGAATCCATGAGAGCTGATGAGATCACCCAGTGAAATAGTATAGAGGGAGAAGAGAAGATGGCCCAGGACAAAGCCATGGGAGAAACCCACAGTTAACAGACTTGATCTGGAGGATGAAGACCAGAAAAGAAGACTGAGAAGTGTTTAGAGAGGTAGGAGGAGAGCCAGGAGAGGAAGGTGTCACGAGACCTGAGAGGAAGAAAGTATTGAGGAGAAGAGGATGATTGAGAGAGTCTTGGCCACAAAAGGGTCAAGAAGGATGAGCACTGAGAAAAGGCCATTGGGCTTGGCATTGATTGGTGACAACCTTCTGAAGAAGTTTAGCCACAAAAGGGAGAAAAGATATAGTACAATAGTTGTTGAGAATAAGGGCAGCTAAATGGTGTAGTGGATGGAGCACTGGTCCTGGAGCCAGGAAGATCTGAGTTCAAATTTACCTCAGACACTTACCAGCTGTGTGACCCTGGGCAAGTCGCTTCACCCTGTTTGCCTCAGTTTCCTCATCTGTAAAATGAGCTGCAGAAGGAAATGGCAAAGCACTCCAGTATCTCTGCCAAGAGAACCCCAAATAGGGTTCATGAAAAGTTGGACACAACTGAGAAAATGACTGAAATGAGGTAGTGGGAAGGGATCAGTGGATAGGTTTTTGAGGATAGGAGAGACATGGGTGTGTTTGTAGGCAGTAGGGAAGGAACCAGTAGACAAGGGAGAAATTGAAGATAAATAAGAGAATGGGTATGGTAGAGAGGGTGATGTAGAGAAGATGGGATAGAGTCAGATCAGTAAATGGCCGAACTGGGATTTGAACTTTGGACTCCAAATACAGTGTTCATTGCCCCAAAGCAAAAGGCTCCATTACTGGTTTAGTGGCTTTTCAGCTTTAAAACTTAGACTAGTCCTCCTTGTCTTTGCTCACATGTCGGTCCCCCCCTCCCCCCCAGTATCTGCCCTGAATTCAGCCTCTGTCCTCTGGTCTCTACCTAGAAGAGTGTAACCTTTGAACAGAGTTGTTTTTCTGGTTGATTTTCTTGCTGGTGATCAGGGTCACATGCTCTGTATATGGGGTGAGTTTCAGGCTCTTTTGTCTCCCATTCATGTTTTCCACCTGAACCCAGGCGTGGGCCTGGGCATCTCAGCTCCATTACCTTGAAGTCAGCCAGTCAGTCAACAAGAATCTAAGTGCTTTCTCTGTGCCAGAGCCTTTGTGGAGTATCCGCAGCTAAATTCTGGGTATAAAGAAATGAAAAAAAAAACCAACCCAAACCAGTCCCTTTCCTCAAGGAGCTCACCTTTTAATGAAGGAAAACAACCTGTAAATAACCTGGCACATGTAAAATGTAGAGAGAGAATAGGTGGAAGGTCATCTTAGCAGAGAGTGAGTCAGTAGCTGCCCTTTACACAATACTTTATGTCTTATGAAGAGCTTTTCCTGAAAACTTGATAACCTAGATAATTCAGGAGTCCTCAGCCCCATTTTATAGATAAGGTTAGTAAGTAACTAAGGCAAAGTGACTTGCACAGAGTGCTACAGCTAGGAAGTGTCGGAGCTGGGATTTGAACCCAGGCTTCTGGACCCAGACCAGAGTTCTTACAGCCCCTGCACACTGTAGTGGGGACCTTTGTGGTGATGCTTTCCCTCCTTCTCCCCTCTCCTTTTCATGGGAGATTCTTGCCACTGGTATGAGCCCTAAAAGGAAGAAAGGAACCTTTCTGGTTTCCTGAAAGAAGCTGGGAAGAATGGAGAAGAGGGGGAGAGGGGGCTCTCCTTCCTTTCTGTCACTCCCCAGTGGATACCTAGCTCTCCTAGCCCTGACCCACTCAATCAGTCACTTAACCATTTTATTAAGCAGTAGTTATTCTGTGCTGTGCCCTCAAAGGCAGCCTGAGGTTATAGACAGAGCCCTAGGCTGAGACTCTGGGAGAAGCTGGTTCTCCCCCTAACTTAACCATTGGTTGACTCGCTGTTTGACTTTGGCAAAGGTGGCTTTCCCTCTCTGTGCTGATGTTAACTCTTCTGTAAAATGAAGGAGCTGGCAGCTTTGTGTGGAGAGGACTGTGTGGAATAAGCAAAAGGAGCAACATAGTTGAAGTCAGGAAGACTTGGGTTCAAATTCCACCTCAGACCCTTACTATCTGTGTGGCCAGGGGCAAATTACTTCAACCTGCTTAACCTCGTTTTTCCCATCTATAAAATGGAGATAAATAATAGCACCTGACTCACAGAGTTTTTGTGAGGATTAAATGAAGTAATCTGTGTAAAGTGCTTTATAGAACTTAAAGTGCTGTATTAATGTGGGTCTGCTGGTGTCAGAACTTCTGATTAAAGTATTTTAATACTTTTTGAAGTTATATGACTGTAGGCAAATCATTTTTCCCTTTCTGAGCCTCAATTTTTTCATCTGTGAAATGGGAATATGCACTGACTCCCTAATAAGGAAGGGAATAAACATTTCTATAGCACCTACTATTACCTCATTTGATCCTCACAACCGCCCTGTGAGCTAACTGCTGCTATTGCCCTCATTCTACAGATGAGGAAACTGAGGCAAACAGATTAAATGATATGTACAGGGTCACCTGGCTAATAAGTGTTTGAATCTGGATTTGAATTCAGATCTTCCTAACTCGAGGCCCAGGGTTCTCTCCACTTTGCCACCAAGCTGCCTCATGGAACAAAGTACTTTTTAAAGTTTGAAACACCTGTAAAAATGGGGCAGTAGGTGTTGTGGTTATCATTATTAGTGGAGAGACCCCCGAAATGAGAGTCAGGAAGTTTAGGTCTGAGTCTCAGCTCTTCCACTGATCTACTGTTGTGTTACCTTGGGCAGATTTTTCCTCCCTCCGGGCTTTAGTTTCCCCATCCGGAAAATGGGGACAATCACCCACTTCCTTGTTTGCCTTCCAGCACTGTTATGGGGGTATTGAGAAGCATCAAGGTAAAGCAAATAGAGTGCTGGACTTGGGAGCTGGGAGCACCTGGGTTCGGATCCTGCTCTGCTATTTACTCCTTTTGTAACGCTGGGCGAATCCCTGCCCCTCCCGGGCTCAGATTTCCTCAGCTGTAGAATGAGGGAGTTAGACTTACAAACCTGTACAGTCCCTCAATCTGTGGTCTTATGATCTGATGTGTGTTTGTGAAAGCACAGTACAGATAGGTATCGGTATTTGTTGTATAATCTCCAACCTTGTTAACTGCTCTGAGATTTTTCAGTGTATTTCTTATCAGATCTTCCTGCTCAGTGGGAGCTTGAGGGAGCCCGACCACTTCCCACAGGGCTGATTCCTCACCTTGCTCAGAATGGTGGATTTGGCCGCCCATGCAACCTCATGTGTATAGGCTCATGGCGCGAGACTGTAGGATCACACCCAAACAAGAAAAACAAAAGATAACCTCTTCTCTCTGGTTCTTCCTCTTGCCCTTATCTCTCCCCACCTTTCCCCTTCCCCCAATCAGGAGCTGCATCTCTGTGTTTCTCGAAAACATTACGCCCACGAACAGGGCTGCAGACTTCGAGGTCTACAGCCTGGCAATTACACCGTTCGCATCCGAGCTACCTCTTTGGCGGGAAATGGTTCATGGACTGAGCACACCTACTTCTATGTTGCAGATTATTGTAAGTTCCTTCTGTCAATCAGGAACCACTTGCCTATTGTGTTCCAGGAGGCTGTAAACCCTTCTAAGATCTGGTCCTTTGCTTGACCATCTCACGATCTCCTGGGAGAGGTGTGTGTGATCACGGCCAGATGAGTGACCGGGGCAGTCCGTGCTGTGAGAAGAGTGAGTGAGTGTGTGTGTGTGTGTGTGTGTGTGTGTGTGTGTGTGTGTGTGTGTGTACTCAGAGAAGGCTTTCTGTAGGAGGCAGGACTGAAGCTGGACTGAAGCCAAGAAACTCTCTAGAGACAAATATATGGACAACAAGGGCATAGAGTCTACATGATAAGAGTGGAAAACATGATGGGTTTGGAGTCCACAGAGTTCAAATTCTGCCTCAGATTCTGGCCAGTGAGGTGACCCTAAGCCAGCCACTTATCTCTATTAGCCTCAATTTCCTCATCTAGAAAATGAAGATAATAATTGCACCATCTTCACATAGTTTTTGTGAGGATCAAATGCGCCAATCTAGGTAAAGAAAATGCTTCACGAACTATAAAGCCTCACCATTCACTAATAATAACGCGGCTAACAGTACTAATAGTAGCAACTAGCTTTTCTCCAGACTTTTACAGGTTGCAAAATACTTTACATCCAGTATTTCATTTGAATCTTACAGTGGTCTTGTAAGCTTAGATATTGTATCATTAATTTATTATAGTATATTATAGTATGTTATTAGCCAACATCCTTACTTTTTTTTTGTAATATTTTATTTTTCCTCAATTACATGTTGAAAACAATTTCTAACATTTTCTAAAAATTTTGAGTTCCACATTCTATCCCTCCCATCCTTCCTTCCCTTCCCTTTTCCTGAGACAGCAAGCAATCTGATATAGGTTGTACACATGCAACCGTGTAAAGCATTTCCATCTAATATCTTTATTTTAAAGAGAGAGAAACTGAGGGTCAGAGAGGCCAAGAGACTTGCCCAGAGTCACACAGTTGCATGAGTTAGTGTTGGGGTCTTGACTCCAAGGCTAGCATTCTATCTACTCTGCTACCCTGCCTAGCGCTCACAAGATCTCTGTGTGGTTGGGCAAAATACTTCACCCTCAGTTCAGTTTCCTTGCCTGTAACTTCAGCGGGTTGGAGGAGGTGATGTCTCAAGCTCCTTCCAGCTGTGAAAGTCTGTGGGATCCGGGTAGGAAACACCGATAGATCCCGAGCTGTGAATCAGAGACTCATGAGGAAACTCCCCAGAGATAGCACCCAGGGGCAGAGGAGTCAGATTTAGGGCAGTTTTGGTCTGTTAGTCAGCAAGCTAAAAGCACCTACTATGGGCCACCCACAGTGCTAAGTGCTGGAGACACAGAGAAAGGCAAAAACAAGTCGTGTCCTCAAGGAGTTTACATTCCAGTGATGGAGAAAACATGTACAGAACTATGTACAAATGAGCTATATACAGAATAAATTGGAGATAATCTCAGAGAAAAGGCCGTAGCATTAAGGGGGGTCAAGAAAGACGTCTTACAGAAGGTAGAATTTCAGGTGGGTAGCAGGTATGTTTGGATCCATGACCAATGATGCTTGCGTGAACAGTGTTGGGACTCGGGCTCCTAGGGTCCAAGGTGGAAGGGACTTTAGAGAGCAGATAGGCCAAGCCTCTCACCTTCAAGAGGAGGGAACTCCTCTTGGGTGCGAAAGAGATGGACTTTCTTGTTAAAAGGTCACACAGCTGTTAAATGTCAGGGACAGGTTTTGAACCTGGGTCTTTATGACTCTAAATTGACTTTGTATGAACATTACCTTTTTTGTTTGGTTTTTTTTTTTGGTTTGTTTTAGTAGATGTTCCATCGAATATTGTAAAAATTGTCATCGGCCCAGTCATCATTATCATTTTCTTGATCAGCACGGTTGCAGCTGTTTATGTCTTTGTGAAGAAGAGGTGAGTGTGAACGAGATAATAACATTAAAATTTTTAATTTTAAAAAAAGAGGCAAGTAGTCTAGGAAGAAAAGGATAGATAATGTTTTGGAAACACAGACAATATTCACCCCCCCCCCCATACACACACATACACACATACACACAGAGACACTAACACAGACAAGAAAACCCAAGTAATGAGCAGTTCACTTTCTAAGGGGTCAAGCTGTTACCAGCTACCACCCAAAGCCCAAAACCTGCCTCTTGGGCCTCTTGTTCCAGCTGCTGACCAGTGCCTTTCCACTGGGAGGCCCAAGGGCCTTCAGCCATGCATTAGCTCAGCAAGCATTTATTAAATGCCTTCTGTATGTAGAGTTTGGGGGATTGGTTCAGGACAGATAGTCCCTCTGTCCCCTTGGAGGTTACAAGGAGGCTATAATACATATACCAATAGGCCATATTTTACAAGGACAATACTAGAGAATAGAAGAGAATGAATAGCCCTTTGTACTCCTGCCATACTTTGGGTGGTCAGAGAAAGGAAAGATAATTTATGGTTTGGTTAGGGCATCCGATGAGTCAGTATGATTGAGAGCTGTCCTGGAAAGCAGGCAGATCTAGGTTTAAATCCCACTTCTATCCCCTGCTAGCTTCATGACTCTGGGCAAGTCATTTCAATTTTCAGTGCCCTCGGCAACTCTCTTAAAAGTCTAAGTTACAGAGAAGGTTCTGACCTGCTTTGGTAGAAGGATTTTCCTCATCTGTGATTTCGGTTCCTATCCCTGTGCCCTCCATAAAATGAATGTGTCTTTAAGGAACCTGGAGATTCCAGAATTCCATTGAAAAATATTCACCCTCTGGGATCCACCTACCTGGTGAATGCTGAGCTCTCATTGAGAATCCAGTGGTCTGTAGCATTCCCTGAAGAACTGAGTCATTTATAGGATTCTGGACCCTTCCCCTCTCCAAAGAACTGAGTGATCCACAGGGTTCCTTCAAAACTTAGTGAATTTGGAGTAATTTATCCACATGAATGAATTCACAAGGGATTTTCAACAAAAATCTCACCAACTGCTGAGTTCCACCAAGAATCTCATGACCCCATGACTCCCAGGAGGAGTCTCATGAACCCCAGGGTTTCTCAAGGAATATATGACTTTCAGGATTCCCCAAAGAACCTAACAACCTCTAAGTTCCACATAGAACCTATAGCCATTTGGGCTTTTCCTTCCCTGTTGTTCCAGGCAAACGGAAGGACCAACAGGCCCACTGTTCGCCTCTTCCAATCCAGAATACCTCAGTGCCAGTGATGGTAAGCGCCTCACCCCGGAGGGACACGTGGGCTGTTGTTTTTAGAAGAGTTGTCAGATTTTGGTTCCCCTCCTCTGGCCACTGAGGGGTGACAGAGTTGGCCAACTTTTAGCTTTCCAACCCTTCCTTCCTTATGCCTGGAGTTCTGGGTTCCTGCCCCTGAGTTACGCTCCAGAGATCCCACCCTCTCTGTGCCCAAGGGCATGCACGAGAAGCCTAGAGGTTGCCCTCCAATATCATTGGATCCTAAATTTAGAATGGGAATAGAAAATGTCTGTCATGAGTGATGACCCACCCATGAGTGATGATGAGAAGGGAAACGTGAAGTGTGTGGGCCTGTCGCCTTCCCACCTGGCTGCTTCTGTAAAGCACCTGTGCTCGCTAACTCCCATCCATGCCAGCTTATCCCTGGGCGGAGCAGGAGCAGGAGAGAAGGGTGCACCCGTTTAGACTTCACGCTCCCCAGGGGTGTGGGTTCAGATGCCACTGCTGACTGAGCAGATGTAATCATGAGAGGCAGGCTTGAGGACAGTGCACCAGGAATCCCTCGATTCCACTCATGACTTTGCCTCTTAGTAGCTGTATAAATGTGGGCATCACTCTGGGCCTCCGTAAAATGAGGGCATTGGTGTGGATGGCCTCTAGATCTCTTTGTGCTTTAAGTCTGTGATTTTGACCTGGGTTCTACTCCTACCTTGACTAGGTGTGTGACCTTGGGCAAGTCTGGGCTTTAGCTTTTTTCCCTCTATAAAATGTCCCAACCTCAGAGGGTGGTGGTACGCTTCCCAGGTGATGGTGACTGTTGAGCGCTCTGTAAAGGAGGCCACGGATGTCCCACAAACGCCAGGGGTCTTTTGTGGATTGTTGCAGTTTATGTACCAGACGAGTGGGAAGTGGCTCGAGAGAAAATCAGCCTCCTCCGTGAGCTTGGCCAAGGCTCTTTTGGCATGGTCTATGAGGGCAATGCCAAGGACATCGTCAAGGGGGAGGCCGAGACCCGCGTGGCCGTGAAGACGGTGAATGAGTCTGCCAGCCTCCGGGAACGTATTGAGTTCCTGAATGAGGCCTCTGTCATGAAGGGCTTCAGCTGCCATCATGTGGTGAGTGGCATCCACGTGTGTTTGCCGATGATAGCTTTAAGACCCATGTTGAGAGTGTGCTACCCATCCAGGGTCGTACATGGTGGGGAGAAAATCACTCAATAGATAATTTGTGCCCAGCCCACCTTAGATGTAAAGGGTAGGGGACAGAGGAGGAGCAGACCCAGGCCCTCCCTTCAGAGAGCTTCCAGTCCAGGGGAGGCTGAAGAGGACCAGATCCAGGCGCTGACTTTATGTAGGGAGCTCAGCCCATGGAAGGCAGAGAAAGCACTTCTCTGGGCCCCATCCTGGGGTGGTAACTCATGGTCTTAGGGAACAGGGGAGAGGGCAGAAGAAAAAAGGAAGTCACCTAAGGTAATACAATGATCATCATAGATCTGAATTCTAAGGAAAATGGAGTTGGCACAGACTAGAGAGTTCATTTCAGCCAATGCATCTCTCCCTTTTGAGAGCCTTTCTGGGTTTTGTGACTTGTCTTTCTCCCTTGCCCACCCTGCCCCATCCCCCAAGCCCTGCCCAGGAACACTTGCCTAAGCCCCCGGCTGTCTTCACCTCACAGGTCCGCCTCTTGGGGGTGGTCTCCAAAGGGCAGCCCACCCTGGTGGTCATGGAGCTGATGGTACACGGGGATCTGAAGAGTTATCTCCGCTCCCTACGGCCAGATGCAGAGGTCGGTTGGTCCAAAAAAACAGCCTATGAAGCAAAACCTTTTCTTGACCCATTTCTGCTGAGTTTTTACTCCACTCACCTACCTGTTCTCCCTTTAGAACAACCCTGGTCGCCCTCCCCCCACCCTCCGGGAGATTATACAGATGGCCGTGGAGATTGCGGATGGCATGGCCTATTTGAATGCTAAGAAATTTGTTCACAGAGACCTCGCCGCCCGAAACTGTATGGTTGCCGAAGACTTTACTGTAAAGATAGGAGGTAGGTTGCTGGGGCTCAGGGAGGGAAAAAAAAAAAATCTCATCTGAGACCAGATTTGAGATGGGACTGCATTTACTTGGCTCCATGTGATACAGCAGACAGTCATTAAGGACCTACTTACTGTGTTCCAATGCTGAGAGAGAGGAAAATTTTAGAGAATTTAGAGAATATAGTCTAATTCTGCTGCTTATTCCCAGTGTGACCCCAGGGCAAGTCAATGAGCCTCTCTGGGTCTCAGTTTTTTTAGCTGCAAAATGAGGCTAGACTAAATGACTTGTAAGTTTCCTTGCAGGTGCACAAGCAAAAAGCATTTATTAAGCACTTACTATGTGCCAAGCAGTGTGCCAAGAACTAGGGATAAGAATGAGAGAAAAGAGACAATCCCTACCCTCAAGAAGCTTCATGTGTCAGAGCTGGCGGAGGGAGAAGACCATACACAAAAAGGAGCTGAAAAGCAAGGGGGATATCCAGCCGGTGGAGGTGGGGAGGGTAGCCAGGTACCCATCCAAGGCCATGAAGTCAGAAGAGCCAGATGGAGAATGAAGGGTTGTTTCAAGATGAGAAGGCAGCTGAAATATGGTGGTGAAATCCAGGGTGTCAGAAATAAAATGAAGCTCTGAATCTGTGAACCTATGGTTCTGAGATTGTGCAACCAGATGGGTTCTAAGATCCTTTCCAGGGAAGGGTGAGCTAGTAAATGTTTAACAACTAAGTCCCTAGAGTGGGTGGGTGGGTGGGGACCCTACTAACAGCAAAATCTGCTTAGCACACTTTGAGGTTTAATCTGCGCTGAAGTCTAGAGCCAGGGCTGGGAAACCTTCGGCCTCAAGGTCCTCAAGTACGGCCCTTTGACGAAATAGATTCAGTTAGAGGGTGCACTTGAGGACCTAGAGGGCCCCATGTGGCCTCGAGGATGCAGGTTCCCTAGCCCTGGTAGACAGTAAGCAAAACAGTAAATCAAGTCTTGATTTAGGTTTGCCTGTTTCTGAGAGGTAAATGCTCCCCCTGGAAATTTAATTGAAAACTGCTCTCTCGTGAGCAGGGCAGCTCCCAAGTCTGGAGCTGGGACCCCTGCCCTCATAAAGCACCTAGTCTCATAGGGGGGTATGAGACACAAATGCAGCTACCAATAATGGACAATAGTATGTGATGTAAACATTAGGCAGGGTCCCAGGGGGGTCGGGGTGGGATGGTAGTTATTGAACAGGTGAGGCGGGCAAGACTTCCTGAGGGAGGCAGCACAAGCTGACCTTTAAAGGATGGAGAGGAAATAGAGAGTGAAGAGAGAGGGAGGACGTTCCAGGAGGAGGGAACAGCAGAAGGAAAGGTGGGAAAGTTCATGGCATGTTCTGGGGAAAGTCATAGGAGATAAGGCTAAAAAGCTTAGTATGGGGCTGGATTGTGGAAAGCCATGAATGCCAGGCAGAAGAATTTGAACTTTACTCAGGAGGCAATAGGGAGTTGCTGAAAATTTTTCCAGCAGTGGAGTAACATGATCAGGTAATTAAAATGCCTAAGTGTATGTCTAGGCTTGATTCCTAGATCCCCACATTAGTCACTCTCAAGGTTTTGTGTAGACCGTGGGGTTGAGAGAGGAGAGATTGGTGGAAGTCTGTGAGTTGGGGAAATGGGACAAGGGGAGGGAATTGTCTGTGAGTTCTCTCTCTCTAACAGCCTTTAAATTGTTTGTTACCAGACTTTGGGATGACCAGAGACATCTATGAGACAGATTATTATCGAAAAGGGGGCAAGGGCTTGCTCCCAGTGAGGTGGATGGCGCCAGAATCTTTAAAAGATGGTGTCTTTACTACCTATTCAGATGTATGGTAAGTGAGAAGGGTCTGTTGCCCAATCCGAGGGTCCCCCAGTACCTTGTGGACTTCAGGGGTGAGTTGGGAAGAGGGTGGGGTTCAGAGCTTTGGGGCTGCCCGCAGGAAGGCCCGAGCGCTGGGCGCTCCTTCTGACCACTGCCTTCCTTCATGCTTTTACTCACAGGTCTTTTGGCGTGGTGCTGTGGGAGATCAGCAGCCTGGCCGAGCAGCCTTACCAAGGCCTGTCTAATGAGCAGGTCCTGAAATTTGTGATGGATGGAGGGTACCTGGACCAACCCGATAATTGTCCAGAGAGAGTGTAAGTATTTTGAAAAGGCAGAGATTGAAATGGGCCCTGACAAAAGAAATGAGTATGTTTGAATTATACTAACCTTTCTTATTTTTTGCAATAATAGTTCCCATTTCTGTAGCTCTTAAAAGTATTTTCCCTACAGCAAACTTGTGAGGTAGGTGGTAATAATAATAATAATAATAATAATAATAATAAATAACATATCAGTTGAGTTTTATATACATTATCTCATTTGGCTCTTGCAACACCCTAGGAGTTAGGTAATGCAAATAATTTTTGAATAAGCTTATTTTTAGTTTTTTTAAACAGTTTTTTTTTATTTTACAGATTATTTTTACAGGTATCTTTACAGATTATTATCTCTCCTTCCCATTAGATGTGTGACTCTGGGCAAGTCCCTTAACCTCTGTTTGCCTCAGTTTCCTCATCTGTAAAATGGTGCTAGCAACGGTTACCTCACGTGGCTGTGTCCCAATATACATGTCATTCTGTACCTTGAGTCCATCATCTCTGGAGGAGGATGGCATGATGTTCTTCTTTGGCCTTCTGTATCAATGTTCTCAAGTCTCTCCATATTGTTCTCCTAGTTCTGCTCCCTTTGCTCTAACACAAGCATGATTATCCCTACTTTACAGATGTAGAAATTGAGACTCAGCATTTTGGTGACTTGGCCAGAATCATACAGCTAGGTGGTGGATTCATTCATTATTCCTATTTGGCAGGAGAGGCTGAGATGGAATGAAAGATTGAGAGTTGGAAGGGGAATTTAGCTGCCCTGTCACTTCACAGAAGAGGAAAAAGAAAGCCCAATCTGGGCAAGTCATTTGACCTAGGTTATGTAGGTAGTAAGTATAGTAAGCCAGGATTCAATTCCAAGGCTTCAGTTTCCAGATCCAGTTCTCTTTCCACAATATAGCCATACCTTCCAATATGTCCATGGTTATGTGGCTGGTGAGCATCAGAGCCTGGATTTCAAATCTAGCTTTCCCTGCTTCCATGTTTCTTCCCTTCTCTGGGCCTCAGTTTCTTCCTTTGTAAAATGAGATGATTGTATTGGCTTATCCATGTCCTGAGGGCCCTCCCAGCTCTGACATCCTGTGTCCTAAAGGCCCTCCCAACTCTGACATTCTCTGTTCTAAGGGCCCTCCCAGCTCTGATGTTCTATGTTCTGAGGCCCCCCCCCCAGCTCTGACATTCTCTGTTCTAAGGGACCTCCCAGCTCTGACATTCTCTGTTCTAAAGGCCCTCCCATGTCTAACATCCTGTGTTCTAAGGGCTCTCTCAGCTCTGATGTTCTATGTCTTAAGGGCTGCCCTCCCCCCTCCCGAGCTCTGACATTCTCTGTTCTAAGGGACCTCCCAGCTCTGATGTTCTATGTTCTGAGCCCCCCCCCCAGCTCTGACATTCTCTGTTCTAAGGGACCTCCCAGCTCTGACATTTTCTGTTCTAAAGGCCCTCCCAGCTCTAACATCCTGTATTCTAAGGGCCCTCCTTACTCTCACACTATGTGTTTTCAGGGCTCTCTAGTTATACCCTCCTGCCATTTTGTGACTCTTGACTTGATGCCCCCAGAAAACCAAAGTAACAGCCATTATTTCTGTTGTTTTCAAATCTTACAGTTTTCTTTGCCAGTGTCAAAGTACTTTAGCCTTTCGTGCCTTATGTGCCCTCTCCTACCCTGAATCTGGCTGGAGAGTCCTGCCCTGTGGGCTGCCCATTCACACATTGCAGAGTCCAGTGATTCCCATGGAATCCTAGCAGCAGCAGAAGGGAGCCACCTTGGCGGCCTCATGCCCCTAGAGTCCTGGGGTCTGTGTATACACAGAAAGGACGTCATCCTAGGGGTATAGGTTTGGCACTGGAGAGAAATCTCTAAGGCTGCTTCATCTAATATCTTCCCACTCTCCATCTTCCTGATGAGGCAGCTAAGTCCGTGAGAGGTAAACTAACTTAGCCACGGTCAAAGCATTAATTAAGAGAATGAGGTAGGATTTGAACTCAGGGCCTCTGACTCCTACCGCACCATGGTAACTCAGCCTGAAAGGATTCTCTCTCTCTCTCTCTCTCCTTTTCCAGGAACAGCCTGATGCAGATGTGCTGGCAGTATAATCCCAAGATGCGTCCCACCTTCATCGAGATCATCGAGATGCTGAAAGATGACCTCCACCCCAGCTTCCGGGAGGTCTCCTTTTTTTACAGCGAGGAAAACAAGCCCCCCGAGAGCGAGGAGTTTGAGATGGACTTTGAAAATATGGAAAGCATCCCCCTGGACCCGTCTTCTTACTCACAGAGGGATGAGGTCCTGGGGAGGGACAATGGGCCATCCCTGGGCCTTAAGGGGAACTATGAGGAGCGGATTCCTTATACCCACATGAATGGGGGCAAGAAGAACGGGCGCATCCTCTCCTTGCCAAGGTCGAACCCTTCCTAACATCTCCCTACTGGGGACGAGCGTTTAAGCCTCTCCCTGGGGTTCTGATGTTCTCACCGGATGGACGGCCCGCCCCACTCCGGGAAATCTCAGGATTCCTCTGATTGCTGCGGCCGTGTGACTGACACACGCCTCAGACCCTGCCCCCTCCTTCACCTTCCACCCCCTTCTCATTTCTGTCCAGTCGGCGCCATGACTCGGGTGCCGAGTTTCATTTCTGTCATTGGCCGCCACCGAGGCCGTGCCTGGCTGTCTGTGGACCTCACTGTGAAACCCGTGTCCTGGGAGAAAGCCTCCTGGGGCTGCTGGCCTTCGGGTCACCACCACTCCCAAGCTCCGAGAGAAGTTTGGCCGGCTGTGTTTGTGAGCACAGGACATTTTGCCAGGGTCCAGGTTTCTCCAAGCAAAGCACTTGTTTGTGGGAGAAACAAAAAGCAAAACTTCCAAAAGTGGGGCGGGGGACCCAGCCAAGCCACAAACAAGCCCATACACAAATCCTTTTCCAGCAGAATTCCAGGCTTTTCAGGATACTCCCCAGAAAACGTTTCTTTTGTTTAAGACTGAAGAATATTTTTTAAGAAAAAAAAAACCACAAATCAGTTATATTAGTTCCTCAGATTGACCAATAGCTGCTGCTCTCACACTTTTTCATGGGTCTGAAACCCTTGAGTGTGTGCGCTTGTGTGTGTGCGCCAGTGCGAGTGTGCACACGTGTGTGTCTGTATTGTGTGTCTGTACCTCAGGCGTGTGTCTCCTTCAGTGTACACACATCGATGGAAGACTCTTGTATCATTCTCACAGGGGCTTTGGACTCCCTGGGGGCATGAGCCTCACCTCCTCCACTTTGCTGGGGTGACAGTACCCCCAAACTAATGGTTTTTGTTATGAGACCCTCATGCTTGTCCCTTCCCTCTATCACTTGCTCATTTATGTTTGGTGATTGCATCTTCTGGGAGCCAGGGTCTCGTTGGGGCTGGGGAGGGAGAAAAGTGGGGTTCAGCTTGAAGCTGGGGATCCTTTCAAGACCAAAAAGAAAACCAGGGGAAAAAAAAGTCAATTGGATGGAGGTCTCCAGCTCTGTCCTCCTCTCTCCCCCGCCATGGCAACCTGGAGCACACCTTTGTTGGGTTTAAACATATTTAATTTTTTTCAAGTTTTAAACATTAACTTCATATAAGTTATTGGCTGTTTTTGATTCTTAGGTTTGGGCTTTTTTGGTCTGTGTTCTGCAGGTGTGGTTTCTTGGGTCTGAAAGTGGCCCATTGATCTGAGAATAAACTGATTTTAGCTGATCACAAGCTGGGGAGCCAAGAGACAAGTTGAGTTTGTACTTGACGAGGCTTTAGAAATAGGTTCCTGATTTATTTTGTGTGTGTGTGTGTGTGTGTGTGTGTGTGTGTGTGTGTGTGTGTGTGTGTGTGTGTGTGTGTACCAAAAGCTGTGAGCTGAGGCCTCAGCGGGGGTAGGTGTGATAGACACAGATGCCCACTTCCTCCTTCTCTGTCTCTTCTCTCACTCCTCCATCATCTTCCTCCTCTGCTCCTCTTCTTCCTCCCTTCTCCTGTTCCACCTCTTTTCCTCTTATCGTCCCCTTTCTCCCAACCTTTCCTCTCTTCTTTTTTCTTCTTGTCTTTTGCTGCTCTTCTTCATTCTTCTCTCTCTCTCTCCCCCCACCCCCATTCTTCCTGGACCCATCTCATCTTCTGTCCTTTTCCTCCTCCTTCCCATCCTCTCTCAAAGTACCTTTCATCCCTATGCCTGTACAGCTTCCTCTCTCTAGGAAAAGTATTTAAATGCAGGAGAAACCTACCCCCACCCTCCCACCCCACCCCCCAGCCCAAATACTTTGAAAAAAACAGCATAGACACATATTAACAGATGTCTGAAGAGGGAACATCTGAAAATAGATGTCAGTCATGACAGAACCATCCTGTCCTCACTGTCCTCATCTCTGATCTCACGTCTGTGTCTTCTCTTTGGTGCAGGTGGGTGGGGAATTAACAGCTCCCAAGCCTCTCCCAGATGGTAACTGAGTCCCTGGCATGGCCAGGGCAGCGCCGTCTTGATCTGGAGCTTGGCAAAGGTAGAGGCTGGTAGATGGAGGCTGAGGTGTGAAATGCAGGCTTTAACGTCCATGTAGTATGACTTATCCATGGCCCTTCAACCAAACTGTTCCTCATTGGGTCAATGTGGCGGCTCAGACGGAGCAGATCCATTGTCCGATTGCTCCCATTGATCACCCCTGAGGTTGTGGTGGCCCCGGCTTCCCTTTTCCCATGCCCCCTTGCTTGCCCACTTGTTCTCAGGTATTCCGTGGCCTTGTGACCGCAGGCTTCCGGGCGCTGCTTCTGCCTTCTCAAAATTGTGATTGAGAACAGGATTGAAAAGTAATCATGATCCTCCTTCCAGCCTCATAACTTTTTGGTCAGGGATACAAGTGAAAAAGAAATCTGGGCCAAGCCTGTGGCTAAGACGCGGGGGATTTCCCCTTGCACAGATAGCATAGAATTGATAGCCCTTAAAAGAGTGTCATGGGTCTGATTGGACGAAGGTGCAGATGAAAGGGGGTGTGTACTCAGAGGTCACCAGGAGATCGAGGTAGGGCTTTGTATTTTCCCTAGTCGCCTGTAGATAGTAGTGAGCAGCTCAACACTACATTATCAGGAAAGAAGAGAGATGTGTTCTCATGTTTTTTCTAATTCAGAAAAGGTTTTCTTATTAGGAAAATAAAATTTATTTATTTTAATATAATATAAATCACTGTAAAAATTTGTTTTCTTAAGAAATCAAAAGTGTGTCAATTTTTATTGATGAAAAATTTGCAGGAGGATGCAGTGTGATGATTTTTTTCCTCTTCTGTCACAGTCTACCTCAGTCTTGTGAGGATGTCTTCAATGAGAGATGGATTTGGACTGGAAGCAGCTTTGTCTGGGCCCAGTCTGAACCAGAGTGATTGGTGTCAGTGGATGGCAATGCTGGGGACCGGGGGGGGGGTCAGTGTGGGTGGGCTCAGGTAGAAGGGTGTAGTCCTTCTCCTGTGATCTAGTGAGTAGAATAGGGACCCTCATGTTTATCATTCCCCACAACACCCCCATCTTTTCCCCCAACCCGATGATTCAACAGAATACCATTTCAGAATCGGCATAATTTTTGATCTTGCCATCTGGCTCTAGTCCATGCTGTTTCTCCCAGGGAGGAGACTCAGCAGGAGACTGCCATCTGAAATGAAGTGTCCTGTCTCTCCTGGTTCCTACCCTCAGGAATGGATCCAATTCTTCCGTCAGAACTTTGTGGTCTTAGCGACCTGTTAGAGCCTCGTGAGTACAAATCTGTCGTGTGGTTTGGTCGTTTTGGGGGAAGTCTTCAAGGGGAGGGGGGGGGCAGAATTACAAAGGTTGAGCTATTGCCAATGTTAAAAAACCATGTGCACTTTCCCCATCTGGACCCCTGAGTGCACTTGGTGCTGGACCTCTACTCAAATGTACAACATAATTTTTTTTTCCATCTTATTCTTTGGATGGAAAAAAATGCAATTAAAAATGATCATTTTTACAATGCAGCATGTATTCAAAGAAACAAAAAGGAAAACTGGCTCAACCTGGATTGGAGGATAACCGACCTTAAACTGACCTCTGCTGGCCCTTTCTAATTCATAGAACTCAGATGGTTCATTGGAGCAGGGTGACCACGTTCTGGGTTCAGCCTGTGAGGGCTGAGGGAAGTTGAATACTAATATAAGGGTCTATATACTCCACAGGCATTGTTAAGTGCCAAAATCAATAACAGCTTGGGTTTTTTTTTCCTTCTCTAGTATTTTACTGTGCACAACAGAATTGCTTCAATCTCCTCTTCTCTTGAATTGTGCACATATGCCCATGCATATGTGGATATATGTAGCAAGGCTTGATTAGTGCAGATCTGTAAAGAGAAGCTTACTAATGGAGCGAAAAGAGGCAGTGTCTTGCGGAAGCCAATGTTTGTATCATGTTGAGAGTGACCCTTGGTCCTTGGGTAATTGGGGTGACAGGGCTGAGTGGCTAGTGTCAGGTGATGCTAAGGTTAAATCTATGCTTTAGATGACCAGCTGTGACCGAGACAACCACAAGTTTGGCATGTGGGGTATGGGTGTGGGGAAGAGGCGGTCGATCGGCTTTGCTTTGTCCTTTACTTGGCTTTGAGCAGGGAGAATCCTAGAAAAAATCCATTCATCTGTGGAAAGACTGAGTGCATTCTCCTGTTTGCTTGGATCTGAAGGTTCAAACAAGAAAGAGGATCTAAGCTGTGTTCTGAGGAAGTCATAGGCCTGGATGGGCCTCTGATGTGATAGTCTAAGGCAGGGGAAAGAAGCGGGCTGAGAGAGATCAGGAGGGGGAAGGTAGGGACGGGTCTTTGTGTTTCGGCTGTATTCTTTCCTTTAATGCTTAGTGCCTAGCTGAGAGTGAGTGTGACTTCAGCCTTAAACAGTTGTACACCTCAGTCATCCTTGGAGCACAGCATCCCGCTGTGCTCTCCCCTCAGCTAACTTGGCTGTGTTCAGCTAAGCTCTGCTGTGGAAAGCTTTGGCCTAGAGCCGTGCGGGGGAAGAAGCAGATTTGCAGGGATTCCTGAGCTCCGAAGGCCAGCTGGCTTATTTAGTTTCTGGAACAAGGGGCAGAAGTTAACCAGATTCCCCCAGGATAGGAGAAAGGCCCCTTAAAAGACCACTGCGCCTAACTGATTATGGAGACTCGGTCATCCTTCCTAAATGAGTTCTGTGCCATCAGTATGCTTGGATGTGGTTTGGATTTCCCTCATGTGGGTTTCGCAGGGGCTCTGGTGCTCTTTCGTGGCCCTGGCCCCAGTCACCTCGTAACAAACCTGGCCAAGCTAAACCTCAGCCAGGTCCTTAATTCCAGATGCTTTGAAATGCAGGTGTTAGACCAGCTGGAGAAAGACGCGTGATGCCTTTGGGGATGATAAGATTCATTACAACTTTCTATATATTTCAATTAGAACTGGTCTCTTTTGCTTGGCTCTCCCTAACTCTGGTGGCTTGGACTCTGAGTCCTTTGTAATTTTTCCAGTGTTTGATTCTATCTGTATAATTAAAACTCTTATATAAAGGCTCAAAGAAAAAGCCTTTTCTGGGATGGCTTCAAGGTGAAAATCGGTTTTTGCATTTTGAGTTGCTCAACAGCCAGCATTTTGCTTTGTCCTGAATTCTCCTTTGTACCAGTGGGAGGGGAGCCAGTGCTGGCTGCAGAGGGAGGCCCACTGGACAGAGTAGCTGTGAAGGAAGGAGAAGAGGCGGCTTCTGCTTTCCTGGTCGCCCCCAGGCAAGCTCTGATGTCTGCCTTACTCAGGCTTTCATTTATTTATTTTTTTTCAGTCAGCTATGGGGATTCCATGCTGCTTACAAAACAGACTCATTTGGGCCTTAGCAGGATAGTCAGCTCAGCTTTCCCGTCTAGTTAGGATGTACCGTGGGAATCTGTCACTGAGCCTCCCTGCATTAGCAGATGGATCCCACGGGTCACTCCTACCGTCGTGTGTCTCATTCACAGCCATGGCTGTTGCAGGCTACCTAGCATCTGTCTCTCCCTAAATGTCTTGGGCCTTTCTAGGAGTCTCCCAGGCCTCTTTGCCAATGGGTGTCTCTGCTTCCATCCTTCATAAAGCTCTGCATTACACAGGCTGAGAACGTGTTGGTTTTGTGTGGGAAATACTTCCCAGTGGTACCATCCACTTTCCCCCAAATTACCCAGGGTCTGTGAGTTCAGGGAGAAGAAGGAAGAGGAGATGGTGGTATGGCTAAAGAATTAGAGCACTGCTTGTGAAAGGGCCCGATCTGGAAAGAGAACTTGGTGGGGTTTGGCTTGGGGCCATAAGAGGTGAGCCAGGATCCCAGTTACCTTGGGGAGGGACCCCCTGAGAGGGGCTGTTCCTCAGGTCCCAGAATGGTGCCAGCTCCTCTTGCAGATGCCTCCAGCTTGACAATAATATATAAAAGGATCAAATGTGCCATGGTTTAAAAAAGTAAAAAAAAAAATTTCAAAAAAATTCAGAAAAACAAAAAAAGCTCGATTACTTTTTTCAACGTTTTCATACAAAGAGCCAAGCAGTGACATGTACAGAGATGCCTTTGAATATTAAAAAAAAAAATCTTGCTGTGTGTAAACCATTGAACAATTAACTGTTTATATTAAAATTCTGAATAAATTATCAGAGAATCACTTTGGTGTGCTGACTCTGCTCTGTGGTGCTTGGCTCACTGGTCCTTCCGTTTTGATAGGCAGTGGTCCCTGTGTTCAGCTCTGAGATCTGTTTTTGTCAAGGAACGGTGAAGAGCACCTGGAAACAAGCCCTCGGTCCACTTCTGAGGTTTGAGACCAGAAACTGGTGCTAGGTGGGCAAACGTTTCTAATTAGAGGGACTGCCCAGAGGTTGTGAGCCCCTCATCCCTGGAGGTGTTCTAGTGCAGGTGAGACAACTTGGTCATTGAGGCAAACCTCCTGATGATTGGGGCTGCCCAGAAATGGAATCGGATAACTAGGGAGACGGAGAGTACCTCATCACTTGAACTTAGTGAGTGAGCCCTTTCTCTGGGTCTCCTCTCATCATGTGTGAAACATACAAGTGAGGTTTGGAGGTGTTAGTTTCTAAGGTAATAGGAATGTAGCCGGTGGCCCAGGGCCCGTCTAAGACTCTGGGCTCCCATGGACTGGGTCCAATCTTGAAGGTTTACCCAAGAGGGGAGTTTTCTCCCTGGCTTTTTATGCCCCCACCTAGAATTGAACCACCAGCTCCTGTACAAGCACTCAGAGTAACAGTGTGGTTGTTGGGTATGGGACAGTATTTCACTGCACAGAAAAAAGGATTCATAGGAGCTCAAAAACAATAAGTTAACAAATATTTATTAAGAGCTTACTGTGGGGGCAACTAGGTGGATAGAGCACTAGGCTTGGGATCAAGATTTATCTTCCTGAGTTCAAATCTAGCCTCAGACACTTATTAGCTGTGTGACCTTGGGCAAGTCACTTAATCCTGCTTGCCTCAGTTCTTCATCTGTAAAATGAGCTGGAGGAGGAAATGGAAAACCATTCCAGTATCTCTGCCAAAACACCAAAAAGCAAAACCCCTCCGCCCCTCCAAAAAGAACTTACTATGTACAATGCAAGCAAAAGGAAAGACAGTCGTTGTCCTCAAGGAGCTTACATTCCTAAAGGAGAAGACAACACACAGAAGGAAGCTGAAAAGGGAGGAGAAGGTGGTGTGGAGGGAACTACATGACGGGAGCCTCGAGGAGAGCAGCCAGTGGGAGAGGAAGCAATGGCTGGCCTGGGTGCCCTCCTTGGTTGGAAGTTCTGGGAGGAGCCTTCCACTTTCCAAAGAGCTAGAGGGGCCCCCGGGCAGAAGGTGTTTTCAAGGTGTGAGTTCCAGGGCTGAAGTGATACAGATATAGAATGTTCAAAGCACTCAAAGAATTTGCAAACCCCCTCCCTCCAAGCAATTGTATCTGAAGGCTTCTGAACAAGCATCACCTCTTCTCATCTGACCTACACTGTCTGAATCATTCATTGCAATAGCAAGCCTTAAAGCACTATATAAATGTGTGTGATTATTATTGTTATCATTAGAGGGGGTAGCAAGATCCAGTTCATGGTTCCCCAGTCACCTCTCCCTTCACTGCTCCTCCAGCGAGGCTGGAGAAAGGGGAAGGAGTATGGGGAAAACCCCCTTCTTTCTCTAAGAAGCATACACATTAGGGAATCCCTTTTCTCCCTAGAGCCAAGACTCCAAATTCTCAAACTTGGGACCACCTGAACTTATGTCACAGGTGATGTTGCCAATCCCTCCAAGGCTGGTGCTGCCCAAGAACCCTGACCTCCCATCTCCAGCTAGGATCAGACTGCCTAGGAGAGCTAAATTCACCCACTCACCCTTCAACACAGGAGAGTGAGATTAAGGAACGTTGTCCATGAGTTCCTCACTCAGGCCAAGGGGCCAAGCACGTGTCTGTGTCTGCCATGTGCCTCTGCAGGGACTCTCATTACCATGGTTCCTGCTATCTCTTAGGCTGTGAAAGTACATTCTTGGGAATCCTCCTCCGATTCCAAGTGAGCAAAAAGCACAGGGAACTCCCATGAGCCTATGCACCAAGGCCAACCCCTTTCAGCCCACGCTGCTATCTCTTGAACAGAGAAGGGGAAACAGGAGTCCAAAAAGGGCCGAGATGGTCTGTCAATTCACTTTTAAAGGACTTTTCTGAAGGAAAGTCAGCTCCTGCAATCACACAACTGCCTGAGGTCTAGTCAGCCAATGAACTTAGAGACAGTTCTCAGTTTTCCTCTAAGCAGGGTGCTGGTGCACATGTTCATACGAAATAGAGACAGAGACATGTTTCAGAATGACCATGGGAAATCCTGGACTTGGAGTCAAGAAGACCTGAGTTCAAATTCTGCCTGAGGCACTTTACTAGTTGTGTGACTCTGCAAATCATTTAACCCCTGTCTACCTCAGCTGTAAAAATGAGAATGATAATAACACCTACTCCCTGGGGTTGTTGTGATGACAAAGTGAGATTATACATATGAAGTGCTTTTGTATTATTATCACTATTATTATTTATTATTAGTCATTACTATCCTATCATATTAGTATTACTATTATTATAACAAGTTTACTGACCCCAGTAAAGCTGTCTCCCACAAATTTTAAAGTTTGGAGAAGCACTTTAATAAATCATCTCATTTGAGACTCACAATAACCCTGTAAAATGGGTAAATCAGGTATTATTAGTAATCAGCCCCATTTTATAGATGGGAAAACTAAGGCTCAGGGTCTTTATTGTGACTTATGCAGAATCACAAGGCAGCATAGTGGGATTTGAACCCAGGACTATATGGTTCTGAATCCAGCACTCTATTCATTGGGCAGCCCTACCTCTCCTGATCTGATATTCTATGAGGTGGTATGAGTAAAGTATGGGCCCTGGAGTCTGAAAGATCTGGATTCAAATCCTACCACCCATTGTCTGGGTGATCCTGGGAAACTCACTTTAACCTCACCAAGTTTCAATTTCATCTTCTGTAAAATGACAGAATTAGAGTTGATAACCGTTAAGATTCATTTGCAGCTCTAAATCTACAGGCTTCTCTCCACCTCAGTTTCCTCATTTGTAAAATGGGGGTAATAATAATAGCACCTGCTTCAAAAGGTGGTTGTGAAAATCAAATGAGATCATATGTATAAAGTGCTTTGCAAACCTTAAAGTGCCATTATTATTTACTAATATTATTACTGTTATTGTTATTCATTTTCTACATATTTCATATATTTCATTCATTTTATTCAGTTTATATTTTGTATATTTCATTAGTATGTTGTTTTACTTTTTATTATATCAATTATTGTTACTATTACTATGATGTTTGCTGTCCCCAGGATCTACCCTGAAGTGCTTTGGCCTGGATGGGACTCAGGAGAAGTCCTAAAATAGTTCTAAAGAGGGAAGAGAACAAGCATTTATTAAGCACCTACTATGTGCCAAGCACTTTATAGGTACTCTCTTGTTTGATACTGTATTTTGTCCAGGGCTTAGCTGATCTAAATTGGCCTGACCACCAAGTGTACCCAAAGCCCCCACTGGGCTCCAAAACAGTCTGAGACCTCTCCTCTTCCCCTCACCCTCCTCTTCCACATCGGACAGACCCAGGTTCCTCCTGAGTTGTGAATGTCTCCTGAAGCATCCTTGAGTTTGGCCTCAAGCTTGCGGATTCCACAGGAAGGCTGTTGCTAATGAGATAATAAGGCTAAAACTTGAGCAGGACAATGATCAAGGCCATTCTAAAGGCAATGCTTTTCATTGTTTGAACCTTACTCTCATCAGATTTGGCTCAAGGAGGGAATAACATAATCAGTTAGGTATAGAAATCTAACTTGCCCTATAGGCAGTAGGAGGGAAAAGGGGAGAGAAAAGAAAGGGGGAATAGAAGGGAAGGAAGAAGTAGTAAGGGTAAAGGGGAAGAAAAGGAAGGGGGCTAACAGGAGGGAGGGGGGACTGAGGTAGGTAGGACTGAGGGAGGCGGTGGTCAAAAGGAAAGGAAAGAGAAAAACATAAATGGGGGTGGGGGAAAGGATGGAGAAAAAGACACAGATAGTACTTGGAACTGTGAATGTGAATGGGAAGAACTCTCCCATTAAATGGAAGTGGATAGCAGAATGGATTAAGAACCATAATCCCACAATATGTTATTTACAGGAAACACATTTGAAACAGAGGGACACACACAGGGTAAAGGTAAAAGGCTGGAGAAGAATATATTATGCTTTAGCTGAAGTAAAAAAAAAAAGCAGGGGTAGCAATCCTGATCTCAGACAAAGCAAAAGCAAAAATAATCTATCAAAAGAGATAAGGAAGGAAACTACATCCTGCTAAAAGGCACCACAGACAATGAAGTAATATCATTACTAAATGTATATGCACCAAATGGTATAGCATCCAAATTCTTAGAGGAGTTACAGGAAGAAATAGACAGCAAAACTATACTAGTGGGGGACCTCAACCTCCCCCTCTCTGAACTAGATAAATCTAAGCACAAAATAAACAAGAAAGAAATTAAGGAGGTGAATAGAATTTTAGAAAAGTTAGATATGGTAGACCTCTGGAAAAAACTGAATAAGGATAGAAAGGAATATACTTTTTTCTCGGTGGTACATGGCACATACAAAAAATTGACCATGTACTAGGGCATAAAAACCTCACAATCCAATGCAGAAAGGCAGAAATATTAAATGCATCCTTTTCAGATCATGATGCAATAAAAATTATATGTAATAAAGGGCCATGGAAAGATAGACTAAAAATAATTGGAAACTAAATAATCTAATCCTAAAGAATGAATGGGTCAAACAACAAATCATAGAAACAATAACTTCATTCAAGAGAATTATAATAATGAGATAACATACAAAACTTACAGGATGCAGTGAAAGCAGTTCTTAGGGGAAGTTTTATATCTCTAAATGCTTACATAAATAAAATAGAAAAAAGGAGATCAATGAATTGGGCATACAACTAAAAAAAAAACTAGAAAAAGAACAAATTAAAAATCCTCAATTAAACACCAAATTAGAAATATTGAAAACCAAAAAGATTAATAAAATTGAAATTAAGAAAACTATTGAACTAATAAATAAAACTAAGAGCTGGTTTTATGAAAAAACAATAAAA